TAAAAGGCTGGAGCCTTGGCATATGGACCAGCAGGCATGTGGCGTCAGTGTTCTGGTGAACTATAATTGATTTGGATGGCGACACATAAAGACTCCCACTGCCTGCTAGGCATCTATTCACTTTGATTTCATTCCACAAAAATTACCGTGGTATTTTTCCCCTGAAATATGATTGATTGTATCTGATGATGAACCATATATTGATATAATCTTTATGGTCAACGTGTTGGCAAAACTGAGAACGTTAGGCTAACATTGTCATTCTATCCTAAAAATCCTAGGTAAGCCACTCACCATTGATATTTTAATCTAAAAACCTTTAGATTTTAGCATTTTACCTTGAAAATCATTGATTAACATTAAAAATTTCATCCTGAAATATATGGACTCATCGCTATTCTAGTCGATATTGACATTTTGATAGACTAATATATTAATTAGTGATATTTGCTCTGGTTTACAGTGAAAATTTACAATGTTAAATATATATTTTACTTTTTAAAAGGAACATTTATCATTGTTAACAGTCACATAATATCATGGTTTTCATCATAGTTGACAATAACATTTTACCATTGTTAATCATCACATTTTACCATGGTTTTACTAAAGTTAACCATTACATGTTACCATGGTTAACCATCACGTTGCCATGGTTAACCATCACATTTTACCATGGTTAACCATTGCATGTTACAATGGTTAACCATCACATGTAACCATGGTTAACCATCACATTTTACCATGATTAACCATCACATGTTACCATGGTTGTTAACCATCACATTTTACTGTGGTTAAACATTACATTTTACCATGGTTAACAATGACAATTTAAAGTACTTTACAGTCACTTTTTATCATGGTTAATGTCTACATTTATCATAGTTTATGTCACATTTCATCTTAGATAACAGAGTCACATTTTATCCTAGTTAATAGTCACATTTTATCCTAGTTAATAGTCACATTTTATCATAGTTAATAGTCACATTTTATCCTAGTTAATAGTAACATTTTATCAATGTAAACAAAAGCATTTAGTTATTTTTGATGATAAATGTTGAGTATGTTAACACTGAAGTTTCATCTTACATTAACATAGATAGGATGTTATGGATTAAAATAATATAATATCAGTTTTTCACTTCTGATGCGATGTCTTTATTTGATTTTGGAAATCATTCTTGGTATCTTGAAATAAATCATGCTATTGGGGACTAAATAGGGGGTGGAAGCTGTGTTAAGTATGTTTTCAGGTGGGTTATTGTGAGATGCTGTGTAAAGTGTGTTTTGAGGTGGGCTATTGTTGGAAGCTGTGATAATTGTGTTTTGAGGTGGGTTATTGTGGGAAGCTGTGTTAAGTGTGTTTTGAGTTGGGTTATTGTGGGAAGCTGTGTTAAGTGTGTTTTAAAGTGGGTTATTGTGGGAAGCTGTGTTTAGTGTGTCTTGAGGTGGGTTATTGTATGAAGCTGTGTTAAGTGTGTCTTGAGTTGGGTATTTTTGGAAGCTGTGTTAAGTGTGTGTTGAGGTGGATTATTGTGGGAAGCTGTGTCAAGTGTGTTTTGAGGTGGGTTATTGTGGATGCTGAGTTAAGTGTGTTTTGAGGTGGGTTATTGTGGGAAGCTGTGTTAAGTGTGTCTTGAGTTGGATATTTTTGGATGCTGTGTTAAGTGTGTGTTGAGGTGGGTTATTGTGGGAAGCTGTGTTAAGTGTGTTATGAGATGGGTTATTGTGGGAAGCTGTGTTAAGAGTGTTTTGAGTTGGGTTATTGTGGGAAGCTGTGTTAAGTGTGTTTTGAGGTGTAATAATGTGGGAAGCTGTGTTAAGTGTGTTTTGAGGTGGGTTATTGTGGAAGCTGTGTTAAGTGTGTTTTGAGGTGGCCTATTGTGGGAAGCTGTATTAAGTGTGTTTTGAGGTGGGTTATTGTAGGAAGCTGTGTTAAGTGTGTCTTGAGGTGGGTTATTGTGGGAAGCTGTGTTAAGTGTGTTTTGAGGTGGGTTATTGTTGAAGCTGTGTTAAGTGTGTATTGAGGTGGATTATTGTGGGAAACTGTGTTAAGTGTGTTTTGAGATGGGTTATTGTGGGAAGCTGTGTTAAGTGTGTTTTGAGGTGGGTTATTGTGGGAAGCTGTGTTAAGTGTGTTTTGAAGTGGGTTATTGTGGGAAGCTGTATTAAGTGTGTTTTGAGGTGGGTTATTGTGGGAAGCTGTGTTAAGTGTGTTTTGAGATGGGTTATTGTGGGCAGCTGTGTTAAGTGTGTTTTGAGGTGGGTTATTGAGGGATAGGCTTGTTGTGAAATGGGTTGATCACTGTGGTTGTTGTGAGTTGGAGTTGTGAAATATGATGGGTAGGGGGGCTGTTGGGAGGTGGGAGGTATGATTTAGGAGGTGGTTGTTGGGAGATGAGAGTTGTGATGAGGGAGGAGGTTGTTGGGAGATGAGAGTTGTGAAGGGGGAGAGGCTTGTTGGAAGGTGAGAGTTGTGATGGAAGCAGGGGTAGTTGGGAGGAAAACATTGTAAAGGGGAAGAGGGTTGTTGTAAGATGAGAGTTGTGATAGGGAAGAGGTTGTTGGGAGGTGAGAGTTTGATGGGGAAGGGGGTTTTAGAGAGTTGAGAGTTGTGCTGGAGGAGGGGCTGTTGGGAGGTGAGAGTTGTGATAGGGGAAAGGGTTAATGAGAGGTGAAAGATGTGGTGAGGAGGCTATTTCAGGGTGATAGTTGTGACAAAGAAGGGAGTTTTCCGAAGTGAAAATTGTGATGGGGAGGGGTCGTTGTGGGATGAGAATTACGTTGGAAGGATTTGTTGGAGGGTAAGAATTGTGATAAGGAGGGGTGTTGTGGCATGAGAGTTGTAATCGGGAGGGTTTGTTATGGAATAAGAATTGTAATGGGGAGGGTTTGTTGTGGGATAAGAATTGTAATGGGGAGGGTTTGTTCTGAGATGGGAATTGTGATGGCAAAGGGTTGTTGTGGAATGAGGGTTTTGAACTGGAAGGAGCATGATGGCATGAGAATGGTAATAGGGAGAACGTCCCAAGCTGAGAACTATGATGGGGAGGAGTTGTTGATGAATGGAAATTGTTATGGGATGGGATTAATGTGGGTAAAATTGTGATGGGGAGGGGTTTTTGTGGGATGAGATTAATGTGGGTAAGAATTGTGATGGGGAGGGGTTTTTGTGAGATGGGATTAATGTGGGTAAGAATTGTGATGGGGAGGGGTTTTTGTGGGATGGGATTAATGTGGGTAAGAATTGTGATGGGGAGGGGTTTTTGTGGGATGGGATTAATGTGGGTAAAAATTGTGATGGGGAGGGGTTTTTGTGGGATGGGATTAATGTGGGTAAGAATTGTGATGGGGAGGGGTTTTTGTGGGATGGGATTAATGTGGGTAAGAATTGTAATGAGGAGGGTTTTTATGAGATGAGAATTGTGATGGGAAAGGGTTGTTGTAGGTTGAAAATTGTGACAAGGTTGGGTTGTTTTGGGACGAGAGGTTTGATGTGGAGGGAATGTTGTGTGATGAGAATTGAGGGATAAGAGAAGTGTTTTGATGGGGGTAGAAGGAGTTGTTAGAGACGAGATTTGTGATCCAAAAGGGGATTGCAGGAAGATGGTGAGGTGAGAGTGGTGAGGAGGGTGAGAAGGGTGGGTATTGGAACATAGAATGTGATGGTAATCACCAAGCCCTGGGAAATGAATATCATTTGTCCCCAAAGGAAGTGGGGTATAGTGTTGTGTCAGTCCATCTGTTCATCCACTATCATGTTCTAGTGCTGTCTCCTACACTATTTATCACAGGAATTTCATACTTGAGGTATGCGTTCATCTTGGTGAGGTGGTGTGTCATTTTTCAAAGTAGGACACTTTGACCTACATTTTGACCTTCATTAATGAAAAAGTTTTTCTGGGCTCTATCTTCTATACTGCTAGTCATGGAACTTCATACTTGGTTTATGGGTTCACTTTGATGATTTGGTATGTTGGTAAGGGACTGTAAATTGCCATATTGCCTTGTTCACATTGCTGCCTAATAAAAATCTATTTTAAATAACCTAACAAGAATCTCTAGGTATAGAGAGACGGGTGGCTGATCTGTTTCTTACTAGTGGTAAATCTGGAAATGAAGTCACTAATGAAGTGTGTATGGTCATTACAGTATAATTATCACTATACACTGTAGGAGGAGGAAACAACCTTGAAATATATCAAATTTTTTATTGTGTCAAGATAAAGTGATCTTGATTAAAGGAAGACAAGGTAAATAAGTGTATAGATATTTTGATAATGTTTAAGAGAGTGGCTGGTAATTACTCCACAGATCTCATTACCCAGACTCTATGTTCCATCATCCTGGGACCTACTGTCTGCCAGTGTAGCCAGAATCAAGTCTGTTCAAAGTCTTGTGATTAGTTAAATAGCAAATAAATGTAAATATGAAAAAAAGGTCCAATTTTGTATCAAGCATTGAATTCAATTTTGTGCTGCTATGGTACTTCCAAACCTTTAGGTTAATTGTGTTGCTGTATTTTATCATAAAAACACGGTCATTGGAGAGTCATATTTACCCTTAGTTTTTGCCCATACTGGCATTGGTGGATTTTTAAAACTGGATCAGTTGTCACCCCTGCTTAGAAAGGGGCAGGGGATACTACATATTTGGTCCTCCTCAGTCAAGGTTATAGGTCATATTAGATCAATTTTGAAATTTTCAAGCATAATTACAATGTAGATTTAATTACAAGAAGCATTTCATGAACATTTAATGTATATATGAATATTAGATATATGGGTGTTTCTGTGAGGAAATAGATGTAAATTAGGATATCTATGTATCTTGTGTTGTTTACAAGGTTAAATTATCTATAAACACAAGGACTGGTTTTTCTATCATACACACAAGATGTACTGTTACTTGAATTTTATGTTGCAGGCCAGTTAATGGGAGATATACTGAAAGGATTGATAGTCCATGGCCCACGGTAGAACATTGTAGAAACAATGAAGGCAGATAGAGATGCTGGAACTCAAAAAATCTTCACTCCCTGGCGCTTGGACCAGTACAGCACTTCAACCACAGACAAACACAGTGTTACTGAGGAAACAACCTATGGAGTTCAAGGCCATATGGGTCAGAATCACTTGAAAAGTAACAATGATGCTAAACCTGTGTTCAGTCCATGGGATCAAGAGAACTACAATTATCTTACCATTAAACGAACAATACTGAGTAGTGCAAACAGCTCGGATGGATCTACAGACAATGGTGATAAGATTTCACCGAAGGGAGATAACCCTTCATGTGAGAAGCTTATTGGTGACAGTGAGAAAGAAAGTAATATAGGAAAACAACAAGAAATCCATGATACAGACACACGGACAGACAAATCATGTAAAAGCACAAAGGAATTAAAAACTTGTTCCTCCAGTGAAATGTATTTGAAGGAAGGGCAAAGTGACGTTCAAGATAAAGGTCAAGGTCATAAAGAGAACTCTGGGAAATTATGGAATTATCGAAGCATGAAGGACAATTCCTTGTGCATGTCTACCAGTCCTGGTTGTGAACCAGACAGAGATCTGAGTCGTGAACCAGACAGACATCTGAGTCGTGAACCCGATAGACATCTGAGTCGTGAACCAGAGAGACTTGCCCACCATAGAGACAGTACCAGCTTCTTTTCTAGGAAGTCGAGGAAGCATTCTGTAGAATCATCAGACTCAAATACAGAAAACAAGGAGAATTTCACATCCAATTCCCCACTGAGTGACGGTAATTATAAAAACCCTGTGCTGTTTTGTAATTATAGTGATGATTCTAAAACAGATACATTTGAGCCCCTTGCCAAATTGTCACATGTATCAAATGTATTGCATAATTCAGTGGAGAACTTAATGCAGTATGCAGAGGTTTTGTATAAGTGTAAGCTTTGTACAACATTACCCTCAATATTGACATCACGTGATAGTTTCCTCTCACATGTCAGTGAAGAGCACTTGCCAAACAATGACCAACTCAAAGAGTGTGGGCGCTGTTGTCTGCGGTTTGGTACTGTAGAAGACCTCCGCACCCATATGTCTTCTGAGCACACAAAAACATGGGAGGAAAAACCACAAGAGAAAATCCATAAAAAGTGCCAAAAGATTCCTAATAAGATTTCCCCAGCTTTTAAAGCAAGAGATAGTTTTAAAAGTCAAAAGAGGTCACCAAGTTTTCTTAGATCAGACTCAGATGATTTGGAAACTGGAAGTCAGAAGCTTGTTGAAGATGTTAATGTAACCGAAGACCAAGAAACAGCATCTCATCCACCAAAACTAGTTATTACTCATGGAGTAGAGCGCAGTGTTCATCTTGCCCCAACCCAAAACATGACACACCTTCAGAAGCTCACAGACCAGATTCTTGCTTCAAACAAACCAGACAAGGAAGGCTCACACCGTAAGAGTCCACACACTAGTCCTGTCATAATGACCCCATGCTACACGGCTGAATTTGGTCAATTTACCAAGCTGGTGAGAGAAGGAGGAAATATTGTCTATTTTTGTCAACTGTGCAATTGGAAATCACAAGTAAAAATGCAGTTCCAAGCTCACTGCTCAAGTTCACATCACACAAGCAAAGTTAAGGCTGCTGACCAGACAGATCTTGATGATTCAGGAGTAGCCATGCCACTGGACTCTAACGGTCAGATCTTAAAGTCTGAAAAGAGGTCATCAGAATACAAAGAACCGGTAGGTTGGACTCCAAGGGGACACCTGTCTTTTCTCACTGAATCATCAGGGTTTCGAATTGGAAATTCCTTGCCAAAAATGGAGAAAGAGTACGGTAATTCGAAAGAAAAAGAAAATGCAACAAAAAATGAAGGAAAAATGAGAGATGAAACAAATACCATGGAAAAAGTAAATTATTCAAATTTTGAGAAGAAATGTGATGAAAAGATGGAAGTAGAAATGGAAGAGGAAGATGTAGGAGAAGATAAGGAAGAGAGAGTAGAGAAAAGGACAAACAAGGTAGATGATCAGGATAGAAAAGACGACAAAGAAATGGTGCAAGTAAAACAAAACAAGAGAAAAAGGGCTGTCCCCGTGGTGTTAAGGAATCAGGCAGATTGTGAGGAGGGTTGGGATTCTGACGAGTGTGATAATGACAGTGACGTCTCCTTGGGAAGTACTCACAGGCCGGGAAGTGGCAACAAGAGACGTCTCCTTGAGAAAACCAGAGATCCAGATGGTGGCAGACAAGGCCAGCAAAGTTCAAGGAAGCAGGGTGACATGACTTTTCCTGCAGATCAAGGGAAAGATAGATTTTACTCTCGAGGGATGTTGGAGGAAGAGTATGAGTCCTGGAGTCCAAATACTGATGACAAGCCAGTTACATGTAATAGATCCCCTAACCCTCAAGGATCAGGGTTGCGTCCCACCCCACCCCCTGTGGTAAATATGTATCCAGATCATACCCCACCTCTCAAGTATTCTTCAGGAGGACGGGAGGAAGAGATGGAAAAGACAGCGTCTATGATACGTCAGTACTTTGAATCACAGCTCGGATTTAGGGGACTTGATCGGCCAATCAAGTGCCCCTCGGCCACAGATTGGCCAATCCCACCGCAGACATCCAATAGGAATGGAGAACGAAGCTTGTCTACTCATAATTCTGGCTACTGTGTACGTGACCCAGCCTACATGTACAACTGCTCACTGTGTGAGTTTGGCTGTGCAGACATGTCGGAATACAGACTTCACTTTGAGACTGAGCACGGGCAGGTTGCAGACCTGGATTCTGGAGATGCTGTGTCAGATGGTCGGGGGGAGTCCTGGAAGATGTGGAAGATAAAGGAAATTCTACCAGGTAAGTGGTGGATTATTACCAAAAAGGATGTTTTAATAGATTTTACACATTCATTCAAAATATTGCATTATACTCTTGATCATTCATAAAAACGTATTATAATGATTTACATTTTATTCACAGATTTGATTTGTGTGTATCCACGAGGCAATGTGTCACGTGACCTGCTTCTCCAGAAGATCAGTGTCATCCTTAGTCTACCTGAGGCCACACAGTGGGGACCTGCGTGTAACAAAGCTGTGAGGGAACAATTTCCCCATAGTCTGGCCCAGCGTAAGGGCAAGTACAAAAAATATCCTTTTTACTAAGCCCACCACATGACCAGGTAAAAAATATATCATTTCACTGGGTGAACATGTTCTTTTGTTTACTAACCTCAGAGGTCTGGTTTTGACTTGGCCATGCTGGACTGGGGTACAAAGAATGACATTTTACTGGCCCAGTTCATGGCCAAGTACAAATATATCTACTTTACTGACACAGCAGGCACACAACATTAGGTTTAAAAATTTGTTCATTACTGATTCGACACAAAAAATAATTTTGAGTGGCCTTAGGGGTGAAAAAGTTGATAGAATGAAATTTGTAGATCTCTTGCTCAACAAAGATTAAAGTAAATTATATCAACCCAATGCAGGGAATTTAACTACATGTTATGTAAAGCATATACCATTTACTGGTAATACACAAAGTACTGACCATCAAAGCTTACATTTCAAGTGCTCAATAAAATACATATACATTAGTAATTACCTCTCCTTACAGGTTATAGTACAGTTCTGCAACGGAACAACAAAAGTGCTGTGGTTTGGTATGTTTTTATTTTTATACAATATTTCATAATGATTGACCTTGACCTTGGATTACAACCTTCTTCTTTGGTGTGGCCTTGAATGAGCATGTTCAGGAGCAGGAAGAAGTGAGTGATGGTGAAGGTGTAACATATCAACCGCTTCGAGACATGTCACAGGACATGGAGAAAATCCTCGGCCACCTACACTGTACGTATAAATCCTTGTGTCACCGGAGTTAATGGATTAGGACATTGAATAAACATATTTATAAATATTTTTCAGTTCTGTGACTATTATTTTCGTGATTGTCCTAGTTTGGACTAAATCATGATGAGGACGTTTTGCACACATCTATACATTAGTATCTATATATACAGTCATGCACATGGATTTCCTTATATTTTGATTTATGTTCAATAGTTGCAGGTATTTATGTATAATTTTGTGTAATCTTTGATGGCTGCGAGTATACTGAAATTAGATACCCTGCCAAGGTTACCAATTATACAGTATATAATCTTAAATTTCTATTGTCATTGGTTCTCAATTGAAAGTGAAATTTACAGGTGATGAACTTTAAGAATGGTGTATTAAAATCAAATATATAAGTAGTCGGAGAATAAATCAAATTGCTGTGCCTTTACAATTGAGACAAGGTACATACAAACATTCTCTGATCATGTAAGACCTCTTTGTTTTGGTTTTCATCACAGCACTGGTACAGTGGACAGGAGACCTGGAGTCTGGAGTATCACGTGATGAAATACTGGAATTACTGAAAGGTCGTATCGAGGAACCAGATGTCCAACACTGGGGTGTTCAGTGTAACAGAGCCATTCGTGTTCTCTTCCCAAATGTGGAAATGAAGCGCAAAGGAAAATATAAAACATATCCTTTACTGACAGTTTTTGGTGGATTATATCAGTGTACCAGCCCATATTGTCAGGCTAGAAGTCAATGTCTTTAACATATAAAAAATGATTTCTTTATATCCTCTCATACCCTAAAGAACTATGCTGATCGGTTCACTTATGGTGGTAGATTTTAAGTAATTGTAGGTACCATGTTTCTCATGTATACAGGAAGAATAAGCACAGCTGAAACTGGTGTAAAATAATTCAGCACTTGTTAAAGATTCCAGAATGAAATTATGAAATTAGTTATGCAGATTTTTGTTTTATATTCTGTCTCTGCTGATACATTTACGGAAAACAAGTCTTGTTATGACATCACTGGAAACTGATTAGAAACTTGGGACTGAATTTGAGATATAATTTGGTAGTTACTATGAGGACTTTAATTAGAGATAGCTATTTTGTGATCATATTAAGAAATAATAATGCATCCACTGAGAATTTGGTGTGATGATAGTTTCACCTTAACTTTTACACTACAGTATTTTTTGGCGTGGACTTCAGACAAGATATCCACAAACAAGTAAGTTATCTCCCTTTAATACAATCATATTGTACTATAAGAATTTTGAGTGCATGACTGGTTTGTTCACCACTTATAGGCTAAAAGTGTATTATTTATATTGGTAAACTGTGCTGTCATTCTATTGTATTTTAACTCTGTATAGGTATGGGATATTTTCCTTTGACAAAAGGAAAGATATTTTTTCCGTGATTATTTTTTAATCTAAACGCTAATATTCTCGGGGAACATTTAACTCACTTTTGTTTGGTCATCAGTCTGTGCACAACATTTAGAAATGGACATTAATGTTAATTGTCTCCTTCAATCATCCTATTTTTGTTTAAGTAATTGAATTTTTTTTAAATCCATTGTAAATTTGTATTTTAGATAGGTGTTAATTTGTAATAGTGTGCAAAGTTCAACTGTATTGTTTGAAATCTTTGAATTGAACTTGATCTTGATTTCCTTTTAGGCATTTTTACCCAATAAGAGAGGACGGCCACGTAAATTCCCCTACTTTGATCCAATACAGCAGGTAATGGAAAAATATTCATTTTAAAATATCAGTGAATACAGGTATTCTTGTAGAAATGAAATGGAAACAGACCTTGAAATAAAAAAACTGCCTTTATAATGATAGTGCTTCAATCTTAACTCCTTGGATCTAAAAATAGTTTTTCTGATTGAGTGATCAATAATCCCGCCATAATTATAATACCTATGAGTATGTATGGCTGCTGTAGGGTTAATTGTTGTGATTTTTTGTAATATTGCATTTTTCTAAAATTCAGGGTGTTATTGGAAGTTTTATAGTAAACATTTAAAAATTAAAAAATTCACTAATAGGATTTTTTTTGATGTGAAAATAATATTTAGTGAAATAAATTTACATTAAACATATCAACATTATTAAGAAGTGTTGAGTTAAAAATAGTTCAATAATTATTAGTTTGCTGTTGATAAAAATTTCTGAACAGCTGGCTTTTTTATGCAGGTGGATCAACCAAATATGACATGGCTTGAGGCACTAAGGTCAAGCCAGGAGGAACTGTACCCTCAGGACATTAGTTCAGAAGGTCAAGTGTCACGACCTGATAAAGGCACTGTAACCAGGGGATGGGGACCGAGTCTAGGAGACAAAGACTCTGATAAAAGCAAGATGATATCTGCTGACAAGTCTGATGAAGGAGGGAGGCATTTGTCTGATAAGTTTGGAGAGTACTCACCATTTCTTCGCTATCGAAAACAAGATGAACGTCGTGGATTGGATCTAAGTCTTGGAGACAAACATGAACGTTCATCACTAGGAATCAAACATGACTCATTTTTGTCAATTTGTGACCAGCCAAGACCTTGGAATGTTCCTTCGTCAATAGACAACTTCAACAGGTCTGGAATGTTTGGTAGTGAGCTCAGGGATGGTCACATTCAATCTCTGTTGCACCCCCTCCCCCCGTCATCTCTCCAACCCCCTGGTCACCTAGACCCTACCCTCCTCTATCGTCTGCGGTCATGGCAATGGTCACCAAGCGAGGAGGATGCAGAGGACCCTGGAGAGGATGAGGAAGAGTATGATGCTGCAGATGGAGACGATGAAGATAGCAATGCATCAGTGTCTAGTATCACTGAAAGTAGGTCACAGCGACATGAGAGGTCACAGAGGTTAAAACACAGAAATGGTGGCAAAAGAATAGAAAAAACAGATCCTAAGAGTTTAAGTAAATGTCAACAGTTTAAACCTGTTAATAAGTCTTGTAGTATAGAAGAGCAGCATCAGTCTAAGGGAGATAATCTGGTGTCACCATCACAAGTTTGTTTCACTCAGTTAGAAAATAACCAAGAAAATGTAAAAGACAATGTTACAGGCAAGGAGACATCATCAGACGTCCAGAATGAGGTTTTATCAAATTTAACTTGCACTGGCGATTCCAGTATTCTAAATGCTAAAAACACGCCTGAAGGCAGCTCTCATGCTTGTGGTAATGGTGACGTAAATCTCTCTAACCAGACCCTACAGAAGGATGACAAGATTAATCAGGATTGACAATCCTGAACTTAAATATCCAGAAAATGTGGTTAATCCTCACATGGTTTACAAGGTCATTACTGAAGATATCTTTGGTTACATCATTACATCTTGATGGATTTTGATGATGGTTTTCTTAAAGAGTTCAATGTCAGGTACTTCATTCATATTGATAAAAAATTGTCTTTAACACATTAAAATAGTACTCAAATTGTAAGAAATGATCTTTTAAGAAGAAAAATTTTAATTCAAATTAAATATGAGAAAGATATGAATTGTTGGATATTTGTTAACTAATTGTGATATATAAATGTTATCTTTAACTAATATTTACTAAAGATCTGTTGATGAAAATCAGATCAAAGTATTTATGCATTATAGATTATTTATGCAATGTTTTAAGTATACTCGTACAATGTAACTTTTTGTGTAAGAAAATTGTTATTAATTATACAATTGTATATGGAAAATTAATGAGTACAGCTATTGTACAATAGACAAGTCTCCAGGCGAATGTAATATTTATAGATACAGGCTTCATTCAAACTAGGATAGTGCAATGATTTGATGTAAAACTTCATAAAAAATGTTGTGAGCTGCATTCATGTTGTGGTTAGAGGGGAAGAGAGAAGGGAGAAGGAAGTTTGAGAAAAAGGTTGGGGAGAGGGAGGAGGCAGAGGTGTTGGGGGGGGGATAAGGTGGATGGGGCACTGAATAATCAGCTTCTAGATTGTTTGTCTTTGTTGCATAATTGGTAACATGACCTTGTACTATAAATTAGTGTAAAGAAATAATTACCAGAATGTTCTCTTTGTTATATAACTTGATGTGGTAAGTGAGTGCTTGCATTTCAATGGTAGACACTAGTTAACTAGCCTGATATGATTAGAGAATACCTGGGTAACACTGCAAGAAATATCCAGCCTTTATTACATTTATATCAATATCAAAGGAGGCTTGGAAATTATCATTTGCAATTCTAAATGGGAATCAAGGGAAAACCTGAAAAAAACTTTTTCAAGTATATTTTTTCACTAGTGCAGTTAATAAAAAAAGCATCATTTGAACTTTGAAGAGCAACAACCCATTGCTACGGTATGTACAAGGATGACATGATTTTGATTTAAGTGTCTGGTAATGAAACACCTGTATAGTTTATATCAAGTAATGGAAACCTATGTCTCATTTACATTGGTAGATTTTATGTGAAGATAAATTCATTTTATGTAAAGATAAATTCATTTTATGCAATACCTGCCAGTTTTATGCATTTAATTGTACACGTGTGACATAGCTACCTTGTCATGGTATAGTTGTTATATACACTGTAAGTATGAGTGACAGTGACATGGTGGTTTTAAAAACTAAAGGGTAAAGTTTTTTTCCTTTTTTACCTTTTTTCCCCCCAAGTCAGTAATCTTTGACTTTCACAGTAAATAATCTATCTCTCCCTACTTTCCCAGTAGATAATCTATTTCTACCCTCTTTCCCAGTAGATAATCTATTTCTTCCTTCTTTCCCAGTAGATAATCTATTTCTACCCTCTTTCCCAGTAGATAATCTATTTTTTCCTTCTTTCCCAGTAGATAATCTATTTCTACCCTCTTTCCCAGTAGATAATCTATTTCTTCCTTCTTTCCCAGTAGATAATCTATTTCTACCTACTTTCCCAGTAGATAATCTATTTCTACCCTCTTTCCCAGTAGATAATCTATTTCTACCCTCTTTCCCAGTAGATAATCTATTTCTACCCTCTTTCCCAGTAGATAATCTATTTCTTCCTACTTTCCCAGTAGATAATCTATTTCTTCCTACTTTCCCAGTAGATAATCTATTTCTTCCTACTTTCCCAGTAGATATTATTTCTACCTTCTCCCAGTTCTATTTCTACCCTCTTTCCCAGAAGATAATCTATTTCTACCCTCTTTCCCAGTAGATAATCTATTTCTTCCTGCTTTCCCAGTAGATAATCTATTTCTACCCTCTTTCCCAGTAGATAATCCATTTCTACCCTCTTTCCCAGTAGATAATCTATTTCTACCCTCTTTCCCAGTAGATAATCTATTTCTACCCTCTTTCCCAGTAGATAATCTTTTTCTTCCTACTTTCCCAGTAGATAATCTATTTCTTCCTACTTTCCTAGTAAATAATCTATTTCTACCTTCTTTCCCAGTAGATAATCTTTTTCTAACCTCTTTCCCAGTAGATAATCTATTTCTTCCTACTTTCCCTGTAGATAATCTATTTCTTCCTACTTTCCCAGTAGATATTCTATTTCTTCCTACTTTCCCAGTAGATAATCTATTTCTACCTACTTTCCCAGTAGATAATACATGTTTACCTTTTCCTTAAAATACATGTCTACCTTTTTCCCAGTAGATAATCTATTTCTACCTACTTTCCTAGTATATGATACATGTCTACCTTTTTCCCAATAGATAATCTATTTCTACCTACTTTCCTAGTATATGATACATGTCTACCTTTTTCCCAATAGATAATCTATTTCTACCTACTTTCCTAGTATATGATACATGTCTACCTTTTTCCCAATAGATAACCCAGGTAACTTTGTTTTCCGTAAACAATCCCAGTCCACGTTCCTTTAAAGTAGATAATCTAGTCACTTTATTCCTTATAAAATAATTCATTCTAGTCTATAGAATCGAGACAGCTTGTATTGTGGTTAATTATTCAGCTAACCTCCTCTGTATTATGAATCCACACATCTGAAACATCCAGTAGATAACCTAGATCTAAATATGTGCTTTCCCATTTGATAAATGACTAGCTGGAGTATGGGATAACCAAAAGTTACATGCCTTGTAGAGTTACCTCCCCTTGTGCTTTAAGTGCCAAATGTGTAATGCCCATTATAATCTAAATCTAAACAATCATAAAATATTGAAAACTCCAATGTATTTATAGAAAAGAAACACTGATTTATGATTCTACTCAAAATACCTGAACATTTTTGTTGTTTCTGTATATGTATGATAATCAATAGGAATAGACATGACAATTTTTTATTTCATAAATTTTTAAGTTGCTTATAACGGGATGTTATGTGGGTTGACACAATCATATACTCCCTAATTGAGCAAATTGCTAACATCATATCAAACAAAGGTTATTTGTCCTTTACTGAATTCTTTGCCTTTTTTATTATAATAATGTTAGACTTGATTTCATGAGGATTTAAGAACCGGTGTAGCTGAGGCTATTTGTCAGGGTTCTCATTTTAATAATGAAAATAACATATAATTAGGGATGGGGTAGAAAATCAGTGTGATTTAGACAGTTTTACATGTCTTTAAGCAATTTTAAGTCTTTCATTACAATGCAGTTGTAATATCTCGATATATGCATTGTTATATATATATATATAGATAGATAGTATGTAACTAGTTTTTGTTTTTATGTACAAAATGTATATAAACCTAAATACATGGTCAGCAATATTATCATAGCCTGTCAAGTAGGAAACGACCTAATCTGTATCAGTAGTCTTAATATGCAATAGCTATCCCTCACTGAAGGAATGGTGTCTTTAACATGCTGAGGTTATAAGGTATTTGTCAAATTATGTAACTATGGTAGGTGCTTATTTTACCTACCGAGAGATATTCTAAACATGTACACTCACGTCATAAACTGTGATAAAGGCATTTGTCATTAGAGATCTATATATCAACTGACATGTTATACACTGTGGGTTTCGGACATCTTTATCAGTACATTGTTGACATCTGGACTGAAGAAATACAGCACAACACTGGATGGTTTCTCTCTATTTTAATCTTTTAACATCTACAATCATTTATGGATGGTTCAATATAGGATTTCATCTTGTCATCAAACTATTTTTTTTGATTAAGTACTGTTGTGAAAGATATCCTTTTAAAAGGCTTTTCTCTCTCAGTATTCAATGAAATACATGGGTTTTGATTTTTTTTTTTTTTTAATTTTTTTTTCCTGAAAATTTTTGGCTTTTCTTTAGGTATAGATCTTATGTGATTGACTTGTACACAATTGGTTTGAAGTTCAAGCCTCATGTTTTTTCCATGTTTCCTTTTTTTTTCTTTCAAAAATTCAGTTGAGTTCATATTTGCACTTTTGCAAGAATCATCACAGGATGTGTTTACATTTAATTATATATGTTATCACAGAACTGCATGTCTCACAGGCAGCAGTATTGTAGTGGTCTGTTCACTTTGCTTGTGATGATCTCAGTTTTGCATGCACTTGTCACCGAGGGCTTTCACATATAAGTATCCTTTACTTTTGATGTTTGACGACGCTAATTAACTAGGAATCCGATTTGCAATTAAGCATTAAATGCTTTGAAAACTCAACATTGTGTCATCATTGGTCCATATGTAAGAGGGAAGACCTAAATTGTTATCTTAGGAAATGTTATAGTGTCATAGGTTTGTGTAGTATATATACCAGTTTAAAAAAATACAACTTAATCTTCTGCTTCCACCCTTCAGAGGGCTATTCACAACTGGAGAGCTCTCTGAAGGATGACGACCACCTCGTCAGTAACTAGTTACATGTATAAGGTTCTGATGAGACTACCCTCTATGAGGTCCCATCTTTAACAGTTATACACAACAAGGGTCTCTATTATCAGATAGTTGTCGGATAATATTCAAATGGCGAGAATCAGCTACGTTGTATGATAATTAATAATGAATATAACCAGAGTGCTGTCTCTCAAAGACTCAGTATATCTATGTGTTACACTGGTTTTGTTTGTGTCTATGATTATTGGTACATAAAATGTACACTGTTATTTTGTAATATAAGTGCTTATTAAGTTATTTTGCCATGTTGAACACTGTGTTCTTTTTCAAAGAGTGTTTGAATTAAAACTTGTTACTCATCTGTCAGTGTTTCTTAATTTATCAACTTTACAACATCCAGCACATCAAAGCAAAGAGTTTCATCATTCATAGAAATGAATTTCATGATACAACTGATTTTTTGTCTAGAAACTTGCAGACTTTCCTACAGAAATTTCATTAATGTTTTCCTTGACTTTTTCCTTTGTTCAAGAAAAAAAGTCTTACTCCAAAATTTTAACAAGTTGAAGTCATGTAAATACATCGTCTACCCAATCCCTTCAATGCCTATAAATATTTAAAAGAGGAAAAGGATACTTTTTCTACCGATGTAATGAACATGAATATAAAGTAACAAAACTGTTCAAACTGACAATAGACTAATGGATATGATGGAAGCCCTGCTCTATTACACATGGTCTTCATAAATCTGTGCAGAATTATCTCCCTTCCCCCCAATCAAAAAGCATTAGCGATGAAAATCTTTATCTTTGCTGGAACTGTGTTCTGTTTTTAAGTATGTATAGAATGGAGTTATGGCTACTATGACAGTAACACAAAGTGAACATGATTGATGAATTTTATTGTAGGGGTGTAACGGTCCGATACATTCTGATTCTACATCAGAAGTGGTTTGTTTTGGTGGCAATGAACATGTTCGGTTTGAAAGTTTAAATTCAAATTCTTACATGTAACATTTAACGTTCTACACAATATACACATTGTTAATGTTCATAGGACTTCATCAAATCATATCAGTTTGAATGTAAGTGTAATATTTTCAATGTTTATTTCAAACTTCTGTTTAAGATTTGAGAATCAATTTGTATCCTATCTATACAGAGAGCCGATCCTGTCAATGTTGGTCCTTCTTATTTACTTACCATGTGTAATATGGTACTTCTTCAGACATTATGAACATGACAAGTACAGGTGTGTCATTCTGTTCATGGTGGGATCACTTGTGTAAACCACAAAAATAATACACAACAACATTATAAGTATAGTACACATATATTTCACAATAACATATAAATAAGTGGTTGTCGTTTCCTTGCTCGTTACGTTTTGTCTTTATTCTGTGGTGAAGACTGATCTATTGGAGCCATTGTGGATAGTTTTTCTGTGACTTGTGCTGCGATCTGTTTGTAAACGAGAGCCTGAAACAGAGCCAGTCAGTAGTATATGTTACTGCAGCAACACAGTCCTGGTTAAGTTTAGTTCATTGTTGCTATATGTCCTATGAACAGCCAAGACCATTTAAGGACATGCTAGGTTTGGGTTCTGGTATATATTACATAAAATAATGATTTTAAAGTTGTCGATCTGCAGAAAAAGACCTGAAATTTTCTCCTTGATCCGCTTGAAATAAACATGACAAATAATGCATCTGTTGCCAAGTTAGAAGGTCCATACTCAAATTCAACACAGTATTCGCTCATCAAGCCATTAATGAATGGATGGGATATATCTTGAACTGATGACTAAGTCAAGAGTGTTATAAGCATGAAGGCTCAAATCTTTCCATTCATATATCAACTGCTGACTTAATAATGAAATACCTTACAGATGTAGAAGTCAATTTTGCCTCTTCATTTCAAGTTTCAATCCATTACCTTTGTCGGGGGTCTAAACCGACATGATTTATTAACATAAAGAAATTTATGGTATGAAAAAGTACTTTTTACCTGTGAAGACTGAGGTTTTGACACCACCACTGGCTGACCCTGGTCACTTCCCTCCCTAATACAGATGTGGAGAGGCACATCTCCTACAAACATAAAGTGATACAGATGTGGAGAGGCACATCTCCCACAAACATAAAGTGATACAGATGTGGAGAGGCACATCTACAAACATAAAGTGATACAGATGTGGAGAGGCACATCTACAAACATAAAGTGATACAGATGTGGAGAGGCACATCTACAAACATAAAGTGATGCAGATGTGGAGAGGCACGTCTCCCACAAACATAAAGTGATACAGATGTGGAGAGGCACATCTACAAACATAAAGCCTTGTATAAATTCACTCCTTAAAACAGATTTTGAAAATAAATATGATGAGCCTACTCTGGAAAGTGCTTATAGCTCGTACAGTTACAATATTTACCTTGTGGAGCAATTTCTGATATTTGTACAAGAGCATGTTTGTACAACAATATGTTTATACAACAATGTGTTTATACAACAACTTTTTTCTACAACAGCATGTTTGTACAACAGAATGTTTATATAACAGCATGTTTATACAACAGCATGTTTATACAACAACAGGTTTATACAACAGCATGTTTGTACAACAGAATGTTTATATAACAGCATGTTTATACAACAGCATGTTTATACAACAACAGGTTTACACAACAACACGTTTGTACAACAGAATGTTTATACAACAACATGTTTATACAACAACAGGTTTACACAACAACATGTTTGTACAACAGAATGGTTATACAACAACATGTTTATACAACAACAGGTTTATACAACAACAGGTTTACACAACAACAGGTTTATACAACAACATGTTTGTACAACAACATGTTTACACAACAACAAGTTTACACAACAACAGGTTTATACAACAACATGTTTGTACAACAACATGTTTACACAACAACAGGTTTATACAACAACATGTTTGTACAACAACATGTTTACACAACAACATGTTTGTACAACAACAGGTTTATACAACAACATGTTTGTACAATAACAGGTTTATACAACAACATGTTTGTACAACAACAGGTTTGTACAACAACATGTTTGTACAACAACAGGTTTACACAACAACAGGTTTATACAACATGTTTGAACAACAACATGTTTACACAACAACAGGTTTATACAACAACATGTTTGTACAACAACATGTTTACACAACAACATGTTTGTACAACAACAGGTTTATACAACAACATGTTTGTACAACAACAGGTTTATACCACAACATGTTTGTACAACAACACATTCAGCTGAGATTTACACTTTAGTGAATTAAAATGTCTGTGAATATTCTTGAAACATGCATCAGAAATTTCCTGTAACATAGGTAATAAGATGATAATCCATAGTGAAAGTCACATACCAAGAATATCTAGACCCATATCAGAGGCTATGGTAGAAGCTCCATCCTGTCCAAAAATGTGTTCTGCATGGCCGCACTTTGGACATATGTAAACACTCATGTTCTGAACAAGTCCAAGCACTGGAACATCCACCTTATGAAACATTTCTGCACCTCGCCGAGCATCCAGTAGGGCTATGTCTTGGGGCGTGGATACTATTAGTGCACCTATGTCAAATGTAATAAATCCATGATAGTTATACTAACAGCAGTGATGTTGTCTGAGAGAGATAACTATCTGTATACATTCTACAAATGAACAAAATCCTCATTATGATTTTATTGAATTCTTGTCATCATAAAGATGAGAGATCCCCGAGGGATCTGAGCAGTCACCGATGTATGACCTTTATTGGTGGTACATATAGGTAAGTTGGGTATTTTCCCTTTCGTTTCTTGTTTAATAATTCCCAATTACTTGTCGTATGGACATCTACTCATCAAACTGACATACAAATTTGAGAATGAACTCTCAAGTACTGTCTAAACAGCGAAAAACTTGATTTGTCAAAATCTAAGATGGCCAAGATCGCAAAACAAAACCCAAAGGAAAATTAGACATGAAATTTGAGAATCAATATTCCATCAGGTACATTCAAGAGAAGAAGAAATTTGCAAACCATAACTTAAAGGTAAAGATGGTCTCCTGCCGGCTATAAGAAACCAAAGGCAACATACATATGGACTTTGAGAATGATCCATCCAGTGTTTCTCAAGCAACAATAAAAACAAACTTCATCATTAAAATCTGTTGTGCTTATGTACATCTATAGATGTCTGGTACCTTAGTTAAAGCCTCTACCAACAACCAACAATAAATTGGTAATGTTGATGTAACCTCCACCAGAATGGTATGCGATGACCTCTAAACTCTGACTTGGTACAGAAGAATGATTTGAGGACTCTTTAACTTTGGCAATATTGATGTGCAAGGACCTTTTGTAAATCTGGGGATGGCCCGGAAACTTTGGCAAGATTGGTTTGCAATGTTTCAACTCTGACCATAACAAGACGATGGAATGTTCTACTAATCTACTAAACACAACCTATCGACACATCAGAGGCTGATCTAACAACTTTATAGAATCTTAATACATGATAATGAGTATGTTCTTGCTCTTCGACGACGACTTTTTTCCAGTGACATTGTTTGACCTTGACCTTCGCTAACCTGAGATGACTAAATTGTTTGACCTTAACCTCATCTTGACTTACTATATATTAATGCATATGTTGTTTGACCTTGAACTGAACTTTTCCTAGCCTGAAATGACTGAGTATTATTTGACCTTGACTTGACCTTGACTTACCAGAGATAGGTATGTTTTGTGATAGTGAGAGCTGTGTGTCTCCAGTTCCAGGAGGCATGTCCACCACTAGGTAATCCAGAGGACCCCATGTTACCTGTCAACACAGATGTCCTTTGGTACTGATGTCTACATAACATGTACTGCTTATATACTGTAAATGTCATTTTCACTATTTTCAAACATGGAATATACATGTGATTCATGAAAAATACTTACTGTGGAAATATAAGATATTCCAGAGAGAGATATTGGCACCAACCTGGGCTTTCTTTATTAAAATTTGGTTCTTTAAAAGTTTGATTTTTCTTTCTCTAATCTCCTGTTTTTTCTCTTAAATTATATGAAATTTTCAAAACCCTCTCAAGAATCAGCTATCACAATCTTTAAGTGTCAAATCAAAGATGGTCATTTGTGGGGCTTTTTTTTTTGTTTTTTTATATCAGTCAAAAATCAAAAAGGCCACAACAATATTGTGAAACTCAAAGATGGATGCCATTTTACTATTCTGATACATCCCAACATCAGATTCAAGAGGGATGTTGGCACCCACCATTGTCTGATCTTTATTTGTTCTTTAAAATTTGCATCTTTTCCCTCCTTTTCTTTTACTTTCTCTGTTTTTGGTCTTAATACTAAGGAATTTGAAAATTCCTTTTAAGAATAGCGATAATATTGTTTAACTGCCAAATCAAGAATGTCTACCTGTAGGTGATTTTTGTATTTTCTGATCAGTCCCATGAAATGTATGTCAAAATCAATGATGTTTTCATTCTGTGACATGGTTACTCTACATAAAATCAGGATGCTATTCCACTGTAAGTAGTGTCAGAGTGAATGCCAGCTGTGTTTCCCTATCCAACAGAAAATGGATTTATCCAGTCTCTAGTAACCATGAGATCTTGTGAAGTAATGGATAAATCTTCAAAACAAGCTTTTATTTCAAAAGAGGTCAAATCTGACTGATGAACACCACAATTTCATCAGGTGTAAAACTTCATGGTTTGAGGCTAAGGTGGAAAAATGAAGTACGTAAATCTGTTGAAGGATCACAAAATATTTTGTACACAAGCATTATTATTGTACAGACATAATGCAGACAAAGTGATCATTAAACTGTATATACCTCATCCCCCTTTTAAGCATGTCACTGAGCTACAAGCTTGCTGCAGCAATTTCTTTACTTTGAGCTTGTCCCCAAGTTACGTACTTGCCTCAGAAGTTTTTGCACTGCAGACATCACCATTGGTCCCCGCCAAACAATTGCCTGTTTGTCATCCACCAAAAATCCCATTGACATACTGTAATATGAAATAATTATGTATTCAATAGGTATAATGAAAAAGTTTTAACAATCTTAGTAGAACACATCATATTTAGTTCTATAGATGTACCAGAAAATAACTGATACAATTCATATGAATTTCTAAGTTAGTAAAATAGGATTCTACAAGAGAAAAATTCTACCAAGCAAGCTTGTTTTAAGTTTTACTTATTCAAATACCCTACTGATTTCTGGGATTGTTTCATCAAATTTAAATTTACCAATTTTGATAATCGTGTGTAATTGAAATGACAAGAAATCCAGTAAATTTCCAGATCCGACAATGGGTTATCATACATACCATTTGATGCCAAAATTCATCAGCGGTTTCATAAGATTTTCTGTGGGTACAAAACATATTACTAATTGATATCTAGTTACCTATTATCAAAGTTACAATTATGAATCTAAAACTTTCTATGGTACAGTATAAGTAGGATAAATATCAACTACTTAATCATAACACTGAATTCTTGAATATTCTGCAGAAATTGTGAAACTGTCAATTTCTAAACTTTATCAAATGATTTAATTCCCTTAGAAGCAAATTGAATTTAAACAGAAACTTTTCATTTGCATCAGTGATTAATAAAGACAGAAACATTTATTTATACTTGAAACAAGGTGCAATAAAAAAGTTAAGGCTGCTGTACTCAAAGTATATTGATAAAACTTTTATCTACTACAGTTAAGCATACAGAAATCACTTTTGAATATAAATGGTAGAACCTACGTTTGTTTAGTTCCGGCTGTCCCTGTAGGTTCATCATACAAGGTATAGAAGGGCCATGTATGTCAGCATCCAGCAATCCAACTTGTGATTTCTGAAACAGAAACATTTGTTTTTCATCACCCCTGCTTGTGGCTAAACTACCTTATAGAAGATGGACAAAGGGATGTAACTCTACTTGTTCCTTTTTTAGCGTATAATTGTGACTCTGACTGGTCATCCCAAAATCTAACTGTTGTAAAAGAAAGTGCATGAACATGTTTGCCATGGACAAATTGATGACACCCCATGAAAAATGGTCATCTCTTAGCAGGGCCTTCGACTAAAGTGCTGTTCACATGCAAAACTGAGTAATAATTGGAGAAACAGTGTATGAGATATCACATGGACTGACAAACTAATGGACTTCTATATCTAGATGGACAGCAAACAGGTAGTTCTCTGTAACATGTAGTGCTGATTGGGGACTATAACTACGTACAATGATTTCAAACCAAGCTGTTTCTACTAATGTATAGGGAACAGAATTGTTAAACCATGACACAAAGTTCACTCCTGGTACTTCATGGTGTGATTGTGGTGTAGCCTGTGTGATGGTGCATTAGAAGTCTTGATATTTAAGATGTACTAGGTAACACCAGTACTGTACCCTCTATCCCACTAACATGGAAACTAGTACACTATCAACCGAGTTGCTTTCTTCCAAATGGATTTGAAAAGAAAAAACAAGAGTACCTCAAATCGGAACAAAATACGCCCGTGAATATATATCATCTAATTAACTTCCATTCATAAAAATAAAATCATGTTATAGAGATTAAACCTACAAAAGTTCATAAACATCGGTTAGAGGAAATATTCAGACAAGATTTTCATATTTCATATCATGGTGAATAAGCATACAAACTTTCATAAAGATAGGCTGAAAAATGTAGGAGGAGATCTCCGGACAAGATTTCAATAGCGAAATAAACAAAGGGGCATAACTCTTATTCAATATTCAAATTGTTTAATCAAAACCCTGTTCAGGAAAACACAATTTCATATCATGGTGATTAAGCCTACCAAGTTTCATAAAGATCGACTGAAAAATGTAGGAGGAGATCTCCGGACAAGATTTCTATAGTGAAATAAACAAAGGGCCATAACTCTTGTTCAAATCACCAAATCAAAACCCTGTTCAGGAAAACACAACTTCATATCATGGTGATTAAGCTTACCAAGTTTCATAAAGATCGACTGAAAAATGTAGGAGGAGATCTCCGGACAAGATTTCTATAGTGAAATAAACAAAGGGCCATAACTCTTGTTCAAATCACCAAATCAAAACCCTGTTCAGGAAAACACAACTTCATATCATGGTGATTAAGCTTACCAAGTTTCATAAAGATCAGCTGAAAAATGTAGGAGATCTCTGGACAAATAAAAGTTTACGCCGGACGAATGGACAGCGCCATACCATAATACGTCCGTCTTTCGACGGGCATATAAAAATAGTAGATTTACATAATTAATCAGAAGCTGCACTACAGCTGTATGTGATTACAACCTTAACTGTTGTTACTATTTATACACTAAAAGATTTTGTGTGAATGGAAATGAAAACATTCATATACTTAACACTTCCTTTACTCTCAAATAAAAATGCTACTATAATCACACTTTTATTTAAACTCTTCAAAATTGGCCCCCTACAATGTAAGATGTAATTTGTCCAACATACTGATTTCATTGTTATGTTAACAGCTGACATGAATACAGTCCGAAAGTGATTACTACATATCACTGATAAAAACAGTCAAGCTGACCAATCACTTTGTTAAAAGTGTTGACAAGGCTAAACTAGAGATAAGGTGTATGAATAACCTTGCTTGTGTTAGAGTTTCAAAAGGTTTTGAGATAAACTTCCACAACACAGTCATCCACATGATGTTGTATTTTCTCTTGGTACCAATACTAGTATCTCTGGTTGCTTCTGATCAGGTGAGAATATATCTATAGGATATCATGTAGTAATATTAAGTATCAAACGGATTTAGGTGATTCCCAAACTCGTGCATAGTAACAAATAAACAACAATACTGGTAATTATATCAAGATGTCACAAAAGCAATCTACACTTTCATTTAAAGCAGGTATTATTACACTCACTTGGTACAATTAATCATTCAAATTGTTGTATAAACATATGTTATACCACATGTGGTGAAACAATTTAGCTTTTTCCAAAAGTTAAAAAAACATTTGTTAAAGCTTGTGTTTTTTTTTGCCAATTTTGAGAAACAGCTAATATAAATGAAAGAAACACTATATACTGCAACCACTTGATGTGTAAACTCTATGTATATCTAGATAAAACAAAAGCTCTCTTAATTATCCTTACTCATGCTGATTCCTGTGTAACCAGCATACTAAGATGATGACCTTTCTTCTCAGCATTGATAATTTAGTGGAAGCTACACAGACTATGGTAATCAATAGATCAGTCTACAACACAAATATTATTTCTGTAATAACTGTGATATTTGACTTTTCTCAATGATCCATCAATTATCTCTGTCGTAGGATATGATGACAAACATCCGGAATTACTGTGAGACAAATACAGAGTGTGGACATCCCCTTCTTTGCTGCTCAATCACACCAGCTTTAGGGAAGCGCCATCATGGAGCTCCAATCAAACGTCAGAATATAGACAAGGATTTCAATGTCCATTACTGTCTTCCTTACAAAGACATAAATGCTACATGGTGCACCCTTGGGATGGATTATTCTCCTGGTTCTATAAACTTCCATGGCCTTTGTCCATGCAGACCAGGACTGGTATGTGCACCAACTACCGACCTTGACCCACATTGGTACCCACGGGATAGATACGGCAAATGTGTTCTTGCCTCATAATACATTAAATATGTGTAAAAAAACTACAATGAAAAATAAATCAGACAGAAATGTGATTGCTGAATCTTTTATAACTAATTCAAACGATGTGAATTTTAGCTAACAAGACAGCCAAGTTTCAAAGCTTTTTTAATATGTTCATTAGGTCTTAGCAATATCTAAAATCACAATGTTCTTAATCATTAGCAAAAGTGATGATTCATATTCCTCAGAAAAAAAAACTAGAAATATACTGAGTATACATTGTACTTACTGGATTGTTAGCAGCCAATCCTAGTGCAAGGTTTACTGAAACAAACGAAGACATCATTGCTGAGATTCTGATAAAGTCAAGCATGGTTATACTATCTCCTTATAGTCCTCAGCTTCAGCTAACTTTGGTATCGAAGGTGAACAAATCACCATAACTATATAATGTTAGGCCTATTTTGATACACCTTAATGGGTACTCAATTTACAAATAAACCACAGTCAGCTACAGTATAATACATGTGACACAAATATCTGTTAAAAAACAGGAAGATATCAGACCTGACATATTAAAGTATTTATAAAAATAAACATACAACTCAAGAAAACTACGTAAATGCATATAGCATACATGAGAATATTTAAATGTATGAATTAGCTTCAGTACTGATCCTTGTGTAAGTTGGAAGAACAATAAATAACAAGTCCTGTTCAAAATGTACAGTATATATCAAATCTATACCATTAAAATTTTTGTTTCAATCCGCTACTTGATAAGTTTTAGGCTATCTGGCTTTGTTTAGGAGAAAAATATTATCTAACACACCTACCTCTTTTGCACTGTACTTTATACTTTCTCATATCACCCATGACATACCTACCTGCAGTAGTGGACTTTCCCACACTATCCCTGACATACCTACCTGCAGTAGTGGACTTTCCAACATCACCCCTGACATACCTACCTGCAGTAGTGGACTTTCCCACACTACCCCTGACATACCTACCTGCAGTAGTGGACTTTCCCACACCACCCCTGACATACCTACCTGCAGTAGTGGACTTTCCAACATCACCCCTGACATACCTACCTGCAGTAGTGGACTTTCTCGCATCAACTCTGACATACCTACCTGTAATAGTTGACTTTCCCACACCATCCCTGACATACCTACTTGTAATAGTTGACTTTCCCACACCATCCCTGACATACCTACCAGTAATAGTTGACTTTCCCACATCACCTCTGACATACCTACCTGCAGTAGTTGACTATTTAACACCACCCCTGACATACCTACCAGTAATAGTTGACTTTTCCGCATCACCTCTGACATACCTACCAGTAATAGTTGACTTTCCCATACCATCCCTGACATACCTACCTGTAGTAGTTGACTTTCCAACACCATCCCTGACATACCTACCTGCAGTAGTTGACTTTCCCGCATCACCTCTGACATACCTACCTGCAGTTGTGGACTTTCCAACATCACACCTGACATACCTACCTGCAGTAGTGGACTTTCCAACACCACTCCTGACATACCTACCTGCAGTAGTTGACTTTCCAACACCACTCCTGACATACCTACCTGCAGTAGTTGACTTTCCAACACCACCCCTGACATACCTACCTGCAGTAGTTGACTTTCCCGCATCACCTCTGACATACCTACCTGCAGTAGTGGACTTTCCAACATCACCCCTGACATACCTACCTGCAGTAGTGGACTTTCCAACACCACCTTTTCCAGAGGCTACCACCACGACATATTTTACTCCTGGTATAGGTAATTTCTTTGGAAGTCCTCTAGACATTCTTTCTCTTTGAAGATCATCTTTAGTTCTTTTTTCACCTTTTATACCCTGTAGTAAACAAACAAGTCAGAATTTGTCTTTGCTCATAATCTGACATAATAAGTGCACTACTTAACATTAAAAAAACACCAAAGGGGTAATTAAGAGGAAAGTTTCCATGTGAAATGTGTTGAGGCATGAACCTTGTTTACCTAATCTAAACCTAAAGTGAAAATTATTACTTCAGTTGTACCACTCAATGGCTTGTTACCTATTTATTGGGTGGAATAGCATATGTTATTATATAAACTATCAAGAAACAGGTAAACTATTAGCCAGCTCAGTATTTTAATGACTATATGTCATCCTGTTTCGATCCGATCATATTCCCTCAGGAAGATCACTTCCCAGGAAAACAGAGACACCAAAGACAATGATAGTCGGCATATCTGGAACATAATGTCAACTGATGAGCTTCAGCCAATAGCAAGATAGTTTTTTTCAACCCTTATCATTTACAGCATCACTTCTCAATATTTTCGTAAGTGTTGTAGCATACTCTTTTAATAAGATACATGCTGAAAATGAGTTAATACCATAGATTCAGAGGAATGGAGCTGCAGAAAATTGCTTCCATGCTGTAAAATTACCTGTTTCTTATAAATACAAATGAATAATTCTGTTATATCAATTGTGTTTGTCAGTAAGATAATTTTTAATTACTATACAATTCACTTACTCGTACCAGGAAATTAAGAAATAATTAATATCTTGAAATCATAAAATGAAGTAAATCTCAAATTTTCTATATAAATCCACTTAAATATGTTAAAAATCTGACACTTTGAATGAAATGATTTACATATTGACAATTTGTTTTCACAGGTGGTGAAAACTTGTACACTACACTCATCCATGAAATTTTTTGAACTTTTGCAAAATTACAGTTATTACATGGTTTAAGATGTTTTTGAAATTCTGAACAATAACCCTACCTGCTTGTAAATACAACATTTTTACCCAGAAAAGAGGCATAACTCACATCTAATACTACTTTTATTATGATCGCGGTTCGTTTGTTTACACTCAATACCCAGGCACAGCCCTGTGCTAGGGGGATGTCACTCCTTCAATCTGATGCATGTTTGTTATAATGTGAAAATTAAGTAGAATCTTCAGCCATTGTTAGTACAAGAAGTAAGAATATTTCTACATAAATTCACCCCCCCCAGTATCTGATAAGATATTGTGTCATTGTTATAATTTGATATGAATGTACATGTAAAATGAGTGGATAAGTAGTTTTCTCTTTCCCAACTGATGGAGCTTGCTCCTTTGACTCAGTTGGTAGACAGGTGGATTATCCCGCCGGGGACGTGTTTTCCCTGGTTAATCATTATAAACAGTTAACAAACTTTCAGTTTAACGCTTTTAACGTTAACGGTCTTCACCATGAGACTCAATTATACTACGCGGCATGTATCTGTATACCAATCAACAACAACACATGTCCGTCGAAATAGGTTACGCCATCGACAACATCGTTACTGGACGAAAAGTGAATGCATACATAATGATAACACATTTTCAGCAATCGATGTTCCATAATCATACTTACAAATGGATTTTCATGGGTTGACATCAATCGACATACACATCTATACAAATCCCCTGCACCCTTTCCTTTCGTTAGCCTGGCATTCATTCTGTTTCTCCAATGTCAATACTTTTTTTTGTTTTCCAATAAAAGAGTTCTCACTACGAGGCACAGGGACACGAGAACACAGACAAGCCTGATAAGATTTAGAAAGCTTCACCGGTTAGTTAGTCGAGGCACTTCTTGGTATTTAGTATTGTGACAGTGCTTGTTACTTGTCATTATAACGTCTTTTTTCACTTCTTTTTTTATATTTGTCCGCGCACCAGGAGACGGAAGAAAACTTGTGATCAACCAAGCACCTAACGGGTTGTTTTTGACGGACACACAAACTAGTATTTGACATTAGGAAACTAGCATTGAATATCTTCGACTGGTAGGCATAGAAAATGAAATGAAAGTAAGCTTCAGAGCGATAATCACATTATTTCACATGGTTTTAGTAATTTCTTATTGTAATCTGGATTTGGTATATAGACTGGTATATTGATTAAAAAAAGTTGAAATCTTTCTTTGTTAATGGATGTAGCTTTGATGATACGTTATACTGTAATGGAAAGTATTGCAATCTGTCTGGCGTAATTTAGTTCAAGTGGAAATGATCGTTTTGATGAATTCATTGCGTTTTAAGAGCCCCCCCCCCCTTCCTCAAACAGAATTACGAAATGCAGCGTTAATATGTTGAACTTTTCATCTGTAGCTTTAGACCCGAGTGTGAGAGTGATGGGGTAAGTATATCGATATTGAGAATCATTATCTTTAAATTAAATGTAATAATGGATCTTAGGATCCATCATGTAATACATTAGTAGTAATGCAGATGTAATCTATATAGTGACCCAGATTACGGGAATATCTATTTCACATTACAATATTCCGGATGTCTATTGTGTATCACAGGTCTGTTTTATTTATATGCTGTCTTCCAGTATCATAGGGTATTTATCTCTGTCCACACGTCCATTAAGTTTTGAAAAAAGATCGAAATCCATACTTGTGTTTAAATGTGTAGACATTGCACGGCTACAGTTTCCATAATGACAATAAAATGTTTATAAATTTCACTTCTTCGAACACCTTTTGTTATTGTACTGTTAGCATACATAGTGAACCAACATGGCTAGATCAATTAGTATCATGTATGATTACACAGTAAAGCTTAGGTACATTTCATCTTGTGTGTTTCATGTACAGTTCAGTCCAGTAAAGAGGGTGCCAAGACTGGAAAACAGGACACTTCTTGAATCTTTTAATGCAATTTCGTGGGACTGTTTATATGTAAAATGACTAGCTACAGTTAGGGTTACACAATAGCGTGTTTTCAATGACTATCTTAGGAAATAGGACGCGGACATGCTGGAAAACTGACAGAAAGGTGTATCTTTAGACATGTTTATTCATTTTTGTTTTTGCATGTTCACTTCCTACTATGTCTCCACCAGTCTGGATTTAAACATGGCGATTCACCTGTTAATCAACTTCTTGCTATCACTGATAAGGTTTACTTTGCTCGAATTAGTGAATTTGTAAAGAGTTTGGTCGCATATGGCATACGGGAATTCTAATAAGGTTTCCTTTACTGTTTTATTTTTTTTTAATTCGAAGCTCATTCCTAAAAAGGGTAGAAAATTATTTTTATGGTCGCAAATAAAAAAGAGTCACTATTAATAAATGTTTTTCTAAATAGTCGAATATTAAGCCGAGGTTCCCCAGGGATATAAAAAGAAAGAAAAAAAAACTTGTTTTATCGACCACAATAAAAGTAATCTGTCAAAAACAAAACTTAAATGCACCAGACCAAAAAGTTCAATCTTATTTTTATAGCGGTGTAGACTGGATCAGATTCGCCATGCAAGACTGAGGACGGAGTGTACATTGTACTTCACTATATATATATTTTAACTATTTCGTAGAAGTCTTATTAATAGCCGACTCTGCTCATGTAATCAAGAAGATAAGACCAACGAGCACTTGTTGTTACGATGTCGGCTTTACTCCAAGGTCGCATACGTTGTTTTAGTATCTCAATCTATCTCAAACAAAATACGGCTCTCTGGTGACGGCAAGCTTAAACAATAGTGGAAATTCTTTGGTTTGTTCATATGTTCAAACCTTCATGATCAACACTAATGAACAATGTACAAGAGTTTTGAATGATTGGTTTTACGTACATGCTGCTGTTACACCATTATATACTTTCCCCATTTAAATGTATTTGTGATATACATTCTAAAAATAAAATCAGCGATTACGAAATGCCAGATTGTAGTAGAGTTCAGTTTCACAGCTATATGATGTAGAGGACCGTAAAAGCGTGTACCGGTCAAGTATGAGACATAACACTTTTGGTAATAGTGAAGTCCGTGACTTTACAGAGGATACAAGTCAGGGATACAGATAGGTATTTTTACACAGGGGAAAGAATTACCCTTTTCAAGTCAGATGATACTTCTCCACTACATAATGTTGCAAAGTAATTAATTTTTTTACACAAAAATATTTACATGGTTGAAATTAACGACTTCATTAGATCACACTGGAAGAAAGAACATTCCATTGATGTGAGTGAAAATGACTTCAATGGGGAATTTAAGTAACCTGAAGAAATACTATTTAAGCATAGTCGTGAAAATCAATACTTTGACGCCATCATGAAAGTCCCCACTCCTTGAGTGAGATTCCATCTGGCCCTCTCTTGCCTCGTTTCTTTTAGCTGTATATAGCAGTTTATTTTTAGTTGCTTTTACAATGTCATTTCATCGGGAGGTTTTCTTTTATCTATAATTCGTGGAACAATGTCTTGTCATTGGTCATTAGCTAGCACAATTTGGATCTTACGACGTTCTATCGACTCCAGACCTACACAAAAAGTCGATATAAAGTCTGACAGGGTACTGGAGCATGTGACGTTGAAGGGAAAGCAATATGAATCATGTTTGAAATAAAACGGGGGAGGAAATGTCCATCGTGGCATAGTAATTTGGAACTACCATTTATCTGTGAATACTCTAAGGAACCAAATGGTTTAATTCAGTTTGTATGGAAAATTAAAATGTATTTCACAAGTTTTCACAACACAGTAAATAACAACCACAAAGAAAACTAATGAGTAACTTGTTTATATGCATGTGATGACAGTTATCATTAAAACCAGTAGTTAAACCTACCGACTAACAGAATATTTACTATAAATTACTCGATATATAATGAACGTTTGATAGTATACATACATATCAGTTCTACAACATGTGTAAGTACAAGGAAGAGACACATGGGATAATTCATTGACCAAGTGTGTAAATCATTTTAACAGCTTGATGACCGATCTAGTAGATAACATCTGGCATAAATGAACATATCTCCGAGTCAGAACTCAGCCGTTATTAGTTGCAATTAAGAATCCATGAAATCTGAGAAAAACTTTGTCTCTGTATAACAATACTGTCCGTTGTTGTAACAATACTCCTGGTATATATATCTTACTTCCATTCTGATTGTCGCCTCTAGAATTTGGCAAACATTTCTCCCCACACGCACCACTTGGAAACTACGTCTGCGTTTCCACAATCAATTGTTAGTTTGACGAACATCCTCTGTAACACCTAACGTTGTAAGCTGCACACTAGTTCCCTCTAAGTATAAATTTGACCCTACAGAGGTCGTTATACAAACATACACTTATAGTATCAGGGCTTGAGCACATCAACACACAAATAAAACATGAGAAACAAGTCATTCTGGTAAGTCACATTGTTTCCAAGAAAATAGTTTTTCGTGTTTAAGTATTGGTACTTGCAATAAGTTTTTTAAAAGAAAAAAACTCATTACTGGTGAAAATACTTACATATTTTATATGTTGTTTTAAAACAGATTAGGATATTGAATCTTATGAATCATTGTATTTAAAAGTAAAAAAAAAAAAAAAAAAATCTCCCACAGATGAAATTTTGTACAACAAAATACTGATTCACTTCACAAGTTTCAAATTCCAAGCAGTATATATACATGTATTTATGTAAATGAAAGAAAGGACATATCATTAACATTTCAAAAAATTAACTAAAAAAAAAAAAAAAGAAAAAACCAACGAAAATAGAAAAATAAAATAGCAATCTTATTGATGCATGCTGAAGTATTTGACTTGAAACAAGGAAAACATTTCGTAAAAATAATACAAATAAACTTAAACAGTAAAAAAATGACAACGTTGTATGTACAGGGATCTAGCACTATAAGTACGTACATTAAATATGATAACTGACACAGTCGTTTACAATCTTTGTGTGATAAAACGCTGATGGAGATCCACTTAATAGATTGAGTTTTTTACACTGTATATAAATGATAATGTTGATAATGCATTTCTTATAAACAACACTAACTTGATTACAAATTCTGTGACATCTTCAAGCTCATCGTTCCATCTTATTACATTAATGTTTAAATTACAGTATTTATCAATGAACAACATTTTGAGGTCTTCACAAGAAGTCCTTATAATGATATCGATCACATATCTGATAACAAATATGACATCTCTTCACCAATCATGTATTTTTTCGAAGTTCTAGTATCTGATTTGTTTTCTGGCTTTTACAATTAATGTGAACTAAGGTCACACTGTCACACAAACATAAATTGTTACTGGGAAACACGTTCATGAACTTGATTAAAAAAATCAAGAATAATGATATTTTGTTTCAGAAAATACATAATCTGTTTTCATTTTCTGGACTTGTGTTTATCATTGAGTGGTATCTCCCAATGTAACATGGGTGTAATGGCTGTCCCTATTCTCGCTAGCGATCTCCACCCTATTAACATTACTTGTGTGGTCATAGTCATCAGATAGTCGATTTGAGTTTCCCTTGTCCGTTGTTAGAACGACATGATCATAGTTCGATGTTGTACTCTCTCGTATATCAACAACTTGGGCATGATCATAGATTGAATCAGCTTCTCCATTTTCTCGCCTGCATCCTGCCCCAGGAATGTGATCATAGTCTTCAGCATCATCTGCATTAGTTTCTTTCTTTAATTTCTGCGAGTTTATTAAATGTACGTGATCATAATTAGATGAAATTGTTGAACGATTCTTCGTCTGTCCAAAGTGATCATAATCGTCGTCTTCTTGTCGCAGATGTACGATTGCGACATTTGCTTTTGGTTCAGGTAGTTTATGGACTTTTGGTAAATTTCCCTTATCTGCAGACTCGCCATCCAATTCAGTATAATGATCCTCTGTTTCTGTATCGTGAACCTCGTTTGGTATCTCACACGTGTTTTCAGTACGTTGAATTGCGTTGTTTTGGTTGACAATGCTATCATTTGCTTTGGATCCGTTATCTGGTTTCTCCTCTGGGAGAGTAATCTGATCATAGTTGCCTCCCCCACTCTTTTCTGGTTCGGAACACTTTTCTGACGATTTTTCAGATTTCATTGTGAGGTATCTTTCTGCAGCTTCAATATGCTGCGTCAATCCGACATCAAGATCAATGTAATTCTTGATTTCATTTTCAGCATCTCTGCGCTGTTTTGACCTAATAAAATGAATGGTTACATTTAAATGGGTTCAAATTATTTCCAATTATTTGGAATGCGAATGGTAAATGTCTAGTCATCTTTTCATTAACAATTGATCACTACGAGTACATTTTCAAGCTTGTATGTTCATTATTTACAAGACGATTGCAACTTGTTTCAGGGAAGCAAAAATGTTTCTTAACTTCGACATACACTGACAACATCGACGCATGAAATGATCATATACAGTAGGACAAATACAAAACAGGATATCACGAAAACATAAGAAAGACATCTACGGGAAGTAATTGAACCATTCGTCGCACACGTGATCATATTTCAAGGTTAAATGAATGAATACTTTAGGTTTCCAAACAGAGAATATCTGTACATATACAACCATACATCTTATGTTGAGAAATCGTATGACGAACAAATCTATCCTCTTGGTCCTTAGTGATACTTTTATTTCATCTTGTACAAATAATGTAACAGTCCATGCCCAAAAATTGTAACTCTGTGTCTTAATTTGATGCAAATGAAGACTATGCCTTTTACATCTAAGGAGTACATGAAGGAAATCGTCTTGTAGTACCCGGATGTTTACACTAATGTTGCATCCAAACTTATGAGTTTAACGCACTGCTACACTTCCTTACCATTTGACAGAATATTGCTCTGTGTTGGTTGTGAATGAATGACGTCCGACTACAAATTAAATGTGTTGGCCTATCAGTCTAGGTTCCGTCTAAATGATAGATTTAGAGATCACTGATATACACTAAATGGCATGTTTATATGTCACCAAAGTACACTAAATGATTTTTAGAAATCGCCAATGAACACTAAATGATATGTTTGGAAGTCACCAGTGTAAACTAAATGATTTGTGTAGAAGTCACCAGTGCACACTAAATGGTACGTTAAGAAATCATTAATGTACACTTAATGATACGATTAGAAGTCATTTATGTGCACTACATTATATGTTTAGAAGTCATTTATGTACAAGTCTTTGAAGATGTTATATACTATTTGTAAAAAAAAGGAAGTAATTAAATTAAGGAAAAGAAATTAAGTCTTTCTAATGTTTGGTGATATAGATTTTGCTTCCTCCATTCTCTGGGTGTGATATGAATTGCTACATCTCTAGGTGCCTGCAAGGCGGGTGGAAAGTTAACTTTTCTTGAAGCAAACGTCAAAATATAAATGTAAAGTCCATGCTGGGAAAGGTTTAAGAGTATACTCCAATCAGTCTCCAATGATTATACAAATAACACGTTAATATCCCCTGGTAGTTCCACATACCTTTTTTGACAAATGCAAATAATTGCGACGACGATGAGTATCAACACGAGTAATCCTCCTGCTCCAATTGCTATATACACCACTGTAAATGATAGAACATGCCAATTCCTTTCTCAATACAAAATACTTTTCCGAAAGCTCTACATTCGAATCCATTTTAGAATTCAATATTCAAGGCCGTCATTGTCAACGATTAGGGAAAGATAAGTTATCCTTCACTTTTTTTTTTTTTTTTTTTTTGGGGGGGGGGAGGAAGACGGGGGATTTACTATAAATCAAGAGAGTGGTCTGAAAATGTATTTTTTCATAAAGTAATTTTTTGAAATTGTATGTATATTTATAGACATGTACATGATAGATTTTAATTACATGTACATTTCGAGACTTTTAAATGGAACTTCTGTTGTGTAATTCCTGTCTGTAGACCGGGTAAGATTATAGTGGTCATATAAATGTAGCCCAAAATTTATTATGATTTTTCTTCATAGTTCGAAATGTATTAAATGATAAAATAACGTGTTTCCAATATGAAACACTTCATGATACTTCTAGCACAAATAGTATATTATACGCTACCCATATTTTCTGCCTCTTTGGTGCCAGTGTTGCTATTGGTTATAGTGGATGTGGTTGTTGTAGGCCCACTATATGGAAACATTTCTTCCTCCTCAGTTGTAGGACCAGTGTTACAAGGTGTCGTTTCGTCAAAATGGTCTAATAAAAGAAGGATAAACTGATAAACAACATAAACATAAACGGTAGTTAAACTTATGGGTTTATCGGCTTTCTTGGCCTTAAAAATGATATAGTTATACAAACTGATTAAAAAAACCTCCCAAAGATTAACTTTCTGATTCCATTCATTTACCTTCAATAATTTTATGTGAAATAGTATCAATGGGTACTTTGTCGATTATTTGGATATGTAAATTTTAGTTACTTACATCATGTTAAAAATATCCGGAACTCAAATACTATTACTAATACTGTATACCATGAAATGCTCGTCGTGTTTAAACACACATTGCGATATAGCAAAAGAGAAACCATGAGATTAAATTACAAAGAGTAAGACTCAACATTTATGTCAATTCAACTGCAAGATAACTCTTTAGACAAAACTCACATTAAGACATAAGATATTGTACAAAAGACACAAGGGTAGCAACTTTTAATACATGATCAAGTGAATTTCATCCTACAGCTGTTTTTTCTCTCTAAGACTCATCAGTGATGCTAAGATCCTACATTTTATAACTATTTTACAATAGCAGCCAAGCACAGCATTTTTAATACCATCCTCATTAAGTGTTAAGTATAAAAGTATAAATCTGAAACTAAGCATCTCTCAATATCTATCAATATGAGATGTACATATTCGGAAATAGTCATTCACACGACGCTAACATGCACTGCATTTGTATTGGTTAAACCATACATTTTACATGATATGATATATGATAAATACAGGTATACCTATTTTACAAATATACCCATGTCGATCGGATGTACAGCTGCCATTTGCTTTGTCACCTTCAGACGTTATATATGAGCAATCTGCTAGCGGATACTCGTCCCTAATTTGAATTCCGGTCCTGACTGAAACAAATATAGTAGAACGTGATTAGTATTGAAAACTTATCACATTGTATTTATTAAGTCCTAACTATGATATTTAATCGACACATTCTGCTATAGGTAGATAGGTTTTTTAATACTTCAACACACTAGATATTTAGGTGTTTACAAGATTTGTTTTAAATTTTGAAAATGCTTCTTCTTGATAAATACTACATTTGTAATTTAAAATACAAGAACGAACTCCTTCTATGAAAGAATCTAAATTCAATACTGTCAAAATATATCTTCATAAGAGTTATTATTATGAATAATATAAAACACCTACATTCCATTCCTATGGTAAACCATGCCATGTCTCTGTGTACGTTATCCCAGAATGGTGTGGTTGACGTGTCATTTTGACATTCGGCAACAGGATGTCGGAAAATGAAACTGTTATTTGACTCGCAGATATTTCGTGTTGCTATCCAACTCCCAGCCCTAGTAACAAAGCCGTCTAAGAAAAGGTTAAAAGTTATTTAAACAATAAACAAATTTATTCGTGCAATGAAGGAAAATTTGTATAGAATCAATTGATCGGTATCATTTGTAAGTTATTATAATAAATATATGAGCTCCTTATGATGAGTTCATCGTGTGATCATCTTGCCTGTAAATTCGAATTTGGGCTCGTGATATATTTCGACTGATTGCTATGTACTTGTCAGTATTGTAAATTGTGATATAAATGTAAGTATTTTATATACACACCACTGCATTTTGCTTTCAAATAATGTTCACAACTCCTGTTTTGATGTGCAAAGGTAGCATTACCCTCACCGGGCTGGCAGTTATATGATTCACACATTTCCATTCCTGGTGGGATTGGTCCTGGTCCTACAGAAATAGACATCTATCGTCATTTGCTTATACCACGCAACGAGAGTTTCTCGAAAAATATTGTTTTTGTACAGATCACAGAAACAACAAAGAAATTAACGACATATTAACAGAACCTTAGTTCAAACTTTCAAAATTTCATAAACTAGAGCAAAATATGAACAAAAGAATTCTGAAAAAGTACAGTGAGAATAAGACCAGTTGTTCTTTAAGTACCTTCTGCTTCCTCTGCGATACCTGTCCTACACATCAAAGTAACAAATCAGACAATCAGCGCTGTGTTAAGGATTTAAATTGCACGTGTGAATTGTATGTATGTTGTATCGTTACTACATATTGATATGGAAGTCATATGACATTAAAATTGTACAAACTTCAATTGTTACTTACGTTTTTCGTATACGGCTGTGTATCCTTCGGTGCCACACTGATATCGCGAGTGGTTTGAGCAAGCTGGGCAATTGTTTGACGAATGAGTGGCATGGTTTAGGGGGTTTGCAGAGAAACATAGACAGGTGTCTCCCTAGGAAACATATACATACTTCTTGAATACACCGGAACCTAAGCTATAAGTATGATATCAAGTTTTAAGTAAATTGTTTTGAAATCAAAACTTCGGATCGTGAATCGAAGATATCAATATTGCAAAAAATTACTTTTTATTTATTCTAAACAACAGTATATAAGATTTTGATGACATGGATTCATTTATCTGAAGGAGAAGGGATAAACATTGAACTGGTTCTGGTTCGAAAACGAACCCTCGTATATCTTTCCAAAGAGATATTTTTTCTGCAAATATGACTGGCCATTAATCTAAAAAAATCAACAATTTTACTTAATCACTTTCCCCTGCAAAGATGAGGTATTATGTAATATTGTAAACTTTAATCGAGCATTGGTATATCTTATATCGGGATTTTTTGAGCGAATCTATTTTTTGCGAATATCATGACCCCGTCGAAATCGCAAAACTTGCAACCATAATAGTTATTTAACGTTTTTGTCTGTATGAATGACTTCCCCTGTCCTTGTGCTTGATTTTAATGTGAACACACGATTGCTTATAGATAAAACTGAGTAATGTATAGAAATCTAAGTGATGCTAACGAATGTTTAACCTACCAGGACAGTTGTAGGATGAAAATGATCATTGTCATTATGGAAGTAAACTCCTCTCTAGTGTAGATTTATATTGCACCCGGCTATTACTTATCAGTTGTTAAATTGCAGTTGCCTTTCATTTCTTTATGATTGAGTATGTAGCACTTTCGTCTACAAAACATTTGATTTGAGCGTAGAGTAGAGCAGTCTAAAAACAACAGTTCATGTTGTGAGATTTTAGATGTACTAGATCTATTCTCTTTACGGTACTTACGGTAATGCCAAAATATGTGTATGAATGGCAGCGTGCATAACATAACAATCCTATGTTTCCACTGATTTGGTAATACTCTGTGCCATTGACTGTGGAGCTGAGGTTCAAAGTAGTAAAACAACCTACAAACAGGACGATGGTTATAAAAGGTATGTTACATGTTTCGATTTAACCTACGTGAAGTTTAATTCATAGGTACATATCTATATGTTACAGTCATCAAGATGGAGTCGATTCTACAATGACTAAAACACTACTGTTCTCTGTATATCAAATTATTGCCGATTCCTTTTATCTACATTATCACATATTTACAAGAAGTGACGCATAAGTACTTTCAAACGAGTCTTATTAAAATTTCAAGTAATATCTATCTAAAATTGTGCTTTTTTATCAATTGGTTCATGCATGAAATATACAAGTATTTGAAATTGATACGTGATATACGAAAGACATTTCTTATTTTCCTAGTGAAATATTTATCAGATTTACAGGAAATTAAAAGATGTTTACCTTTCAACTCCACCCATCTTGTTACGAAAGAGAAAGCGCTTGTCCAGTAGGACTTATTTTCAGTTAATGTAATATTGCTGAAATTATCATCAAGCTCTGAATTATCAATCAAGGTCCCATTCATCTGTCTACAAGCGTGAGATGCATTTTCCCATTTCGTATTGGAGTCTACGACCTTGTAACAGACGTTCTTCATTTGACCTGGAACAAAAATCTTGCCTTAGATCTACAAGCCATATATGAACAATCAGTATAGAAATTACAATTCTAGGCAATAATACTGTTTATGAGCTTGAACCTAGAGGTAAAATGCAATGTCACTTTGGCTAAAACAGAAAGGTATAATAAATAAGTTGATATGTGTTTTCAGTTAGGCTGATTATATGAAAATATAAAAAAAAATAATAATAATGACGCTTGTTTTTAAATCTTTCGATGATACAATCCACTAGTCTCACTTTACTGTCTTTGATAAGTAGAGTGAATTAAACATAGTTTGCCCATGTTTATAGTATACCGATACAGAAAGTCCCTAAGAGAAAATCAATTCCAGTTATTATGTTTTGATATGTTTTTACACTACTTAATGTTTATATATATTATGTTGTTGTTTTTAAATAATTTCATGAACTGTGAACAGTGCCTATGAAAAGATTGACTTTTACTTTTATAAGTCAGTAATTTTAGCAAGACTCTTCAACATTAAACAATGTAAGGTATCTGTAACAAGAGTGATGCAAATACAATGTTAATATGGCATCTTACCATTGATCGTGTGAATACTGGTAAATAGGATGACGAACAACCATTTAACTTGATCCATCTTTACATATATCATCTATTGTACATTATCGCCGACATACTTTGTGCCTCTGAAAACAAGAAATATAAACACATACAAAATACCACACAAATGTTTCTATGTTAAAAAAACAAATAATTCAGAATTGCACAACGTCAAATTTGAAATGAACTTCAAGTAAAGCGTAGATAAGCTGTCTGCTATTGATTAAAGTAAAAATTCTCATTCAGAACATTTGTTGTTCATGTCCTGGGGGAGAAACTTTACGCACGGTAATATCTAGAATTAAGATTAATAATAACACAATTTATATCTTTGTCTTTTCTTGTTTTCGTCCTGAAAAAACTCAAATTAAGGTTAATTAATTTTCATCTTTTCGGGGCGAAAACACGAAATTATTTTAAAAAATCCTTAAGGTCGCTAATTACCGTGCATTTTTTTCAACTTTACTGCGTATTATTTGACGTCATTTCTTTTCGGGGCGAAAAGACGAAAGAGTGAAATGGCTAAAAATCAGCCATCGTATATCTGGTTTATTTCTGGAAGTGTCCTTTAATGTGCAAAATCTACAATAGCACGAGTTATCATTCAACTCAGACAAGAATACTATTAACTGACATAAGTGTTTTATGCACGTGAAATATAAATTGTGTATCACAAAATATTGATCCGTCACGTAGTCTTGTACTCGTTCTTTATTAATCTCTAATTATCTTCTCTTTTCAAGTATGACTTGGGGATTTACGGTTAAGTCGATATATAAATAACAAACATCTCCAGCTGCTAAGCATGTATCCTTTCACGATATGAATTGAAAAATCCCAAATGGAATGTTTTACTTTTTGGATGACATTGGGGAAATTTAAACAAATTAATGTGAAACCAACTATTTTTATGTTTTATCTTGCTGTTTTTAACACTACGGCCCACATCACCATCACACAAGGAATAATAAACCATATGCTTACAAAATAATTTGATAAGTCGATCAAATTCTTAGACATTTAACGCAGTCAGAAAATATGATACAGGGCGAAGTGACATTAGGCCTCAAATACAAACTATTTACAGGGACAACTCAACGTACTGAAGGAGAACATTCTTGTCTGATATATCATTTATGCTTACTTTTTAAAGATTTAAGAAAACATTTAATCTTTACTGTGCAGAAAATATACAAATTACCCAATAAACATGCAACAGTGTGTAAAGTTTAAAACACGATTTTCCCATTGTGATACATATCAGGCCATCTGACTAATGCAACATCGATTTAGAAAAGAGAAATGAGCACGCTTAAAACATTACGTAAGGAAAGCATTCATCCCTGACTATGAAACATACTGGCAGTATAATAATCCAGTACGCAGGAAACATATTCTCTGAATTTCGAAAGTGTTGCAAATGTATAGTTCATTCATTCTGTTGAAAGAGTCTAATTGTGTACGAGCAAAATGTATATAGTTATTCATAAAACCATTAATGGTGTGTTGAAACTGCAGTCGTATTTCAATTGTTCTCTAAATTGAGTAAATGGAAAGACAATCCTCGGTATAGCATATGTGAGTAATGTAATATCACAAATTTGGATGAGACAGAAAATGGATAGAATCTATGAACAGTAAAGTATGATAAATTATTATCTATATTACAAAAAAAAGCATTAGTGGATAATGTTTGTGTATTTCCTATTAGTTTCCTTGTTGTCATCAAGCAATGATATCAGTAATATTAACCATTAATTAAATGACATTTCATATAAAAAGTACCAGTTCCTTTTAATACTATTGTTAAGATTTCTTCCTTATGTGTAGAATTACAGACATGAGTAACCACTGCCGCTAATATCATATTCTTCACCTGCGAACCTACCATTATTCATACAGTCATGTCTTTATATTATTTGAATTGATTATGCATTAATGAAGCACGTGTACCACATCTACTTAAATAAATATTTCCTTCTTTTCCAACTCTTTTATTTGTTATCCGACTGGTAAAAGAATGGAAAAAATAGATAATTGTAAAGAAAACAAAGATATTAAAACGGCTTACGTCACTCTTATTTTGAGACATTACCTGTCGTGAAAATCCAATATGAAAGATATGGCACGATTATATGGGTCAGTGTGAAATAAGGTATATTTTGTGATTTGTTAATATATGGTCGGCATTTAACAAAAAAATTCAGAAGGCTTTGATTTGATACCTGGCCATTTGCTTCTGTTCTAGTTGTATTCTATTTTCCTACATTCTATATGTGCTAAACGTTTTGATATTTCACTTCCTTTTACTAAAACCACACAGGAAATGTCGACAAACGTTATCGTACGGTATCCTTATTGAGCCTATAGATGTTAATAAAAAAAATTAAAATGCTAAATATGAACCTTAAATCTCTAAATATTAAAAAAGTTTACAGATAATACGTGCACAAGGAGATAAGATAAGGGAAGACGTCGATGACTTTGATATAATTCATATATATATGTATATTGGAAACCATGATTACACGAAACGTTGAATTGATAACGATATCGCCAAATATTTTATCTACTTTTCTACATCAAACTCTGACACGAAATATTTGTGTTGACCAGCTGTTGTGATTAGCCAGCTTATTAGTTATTTTCTTTCGTGTCTTAAAACGGAATTTACAGAACAGTGAGGTTTATATTGGATGACCGATAATAAGGACTTTGACAACCAAAATATCAATGTATATCTGCACATGTTAGGTGTCTTTACGAAAGTTTCCATATATATATATCATTCTTATTGTTAGCAAAGAAGAACCTTCCGACACAATCGACAACTAAATTACTTATGAATGCATAGCGGTTTAAGATTCACTTGCTGGACTCGAACACGCCATTACAGCGTTAGTATAAAACCCCCTTTCAAAGTACAGCAACGACTGCATGTAAATAGTTAAAATAAAATTAAAAGTTAAGTTAAAATAATTATAGCTTACATGTTATGTACAGTAAGGAATGAGGCAGGACGACTCGTTGATACATGCTTTGTCTCGTAGATTTCATGACTATTTATAATCACGTGAAGGCGAAACTGTCATCGTGAATTAATTTAAACTATAACATTTATATGATTACACAGTGAAGAAACCCTGTATCTTTTTAAGCATTACTAAGACAAAATGTCAAAGATAAGCATGAAAATATCCAATGTTACATATCCTCGTAGCACGATAGTGTCGAATATAAATTAAAAATACTTTAATATAGATAATTACCACACGACTAGACAAACGATTCTTGTAAAAGCCGATTACGTAATGAACAACAACTTACCTCATGTGAATCCAGCTTGAGTGTGAGTGCAACCCGGAAGAACGGAGAGGTAATGTTCATTGTGTGGTAGGAATTCCAAGGGAGGCACCTTTTTGATACACACAAACATGTAACACGGAAGTATTTTCATTGTATTAATAGGTATAAAGCCTTGTTAGCACGGTGGTGTCTTTAGCACGGCACCAGAATGGGACAATATTATAGGGAAGTGTATTGTAGAATTCATCATCGCACTAACAATGAAATTTAAAGCTGTGATAGGAAATTTGTTAATCTATCATCTAATGATTGCTGCAATCAAACATTTTTCGTCAATGATGAAAACTTACAACCCAATGGCAACCAAACGAATTGTCTAAAGTATGCACGCTATATACACAGGTTTTACAAGCAACGGTTATAGGGACAAAATGTAATGATTTCTTATCAGGACGTAAGGTTGTAATTCATCGTAGCGAACTGAAACCATATCAGGTCATTGTGGCATAGGAACATTTCAAAACCGGTTTGTTATCCTAGTTGACATTGTCACTAAGGGATAACTTACGCTTTATATGTATGTATACAGGCAGAAAATGCTTGGTTATGTTACGATACATTTGAAACGTATCTGTCACTTCCTTATTATAGATCTAAATATACCATAACAAAATGCTAAGAGATTTAAAGAAACTTTTCCTATTCATCTACCATTCATATTCTTTTATAATGTTTGGTATGGTGTATACATATTTATGTACCTTCGCGTCTGTTATGTGTTGGACTGAAACCGTATTTACATCATATAAGTTTGTAAGCATGAAATATAAGTATGTAACCAACCGGAACCAATGTCTAACGCATACGAAAACACTACACCTTTTTCACAGATGTAAGTTGTAGGTACGGAATGATGAATTCAGTGTAGACGTTTTCATTAAATATTCCGGGACTTCCCTCGTGTAACTAAATCATGAATTTGCACTTAGCCAGGATATCCTAACCCAGTGGACAAGACCAACTGAAACTCAGTTAATTTATTTGAACCTTTTTTTTTTACTTTGCTAAAGGTAAAACACATCCTTATATCATTTTACATAATTCCAAATATGATAAATATACCAGTAACATTTTAAATCGAAATCAGTGTTATAAAATGATTGTTTATAATATGTCAAAATGCTTTAGTGCGGATTCATCTATTCAAATACATGTGCTACATCGTACATACCTAAATGTCAAAATGATCTTCGTTTGTAATTTTTCGTAATTTTTCACAGGCTATCTGATGTTTAAAAAAGTACTTAAAAATATTAAAAAGATTGTACAAAAGATATAAAAGCTAGTCATAATTATGTGTTTTCGTCTTTAGATATCTCAGTTACCCGTCTAATACCTATACCATAGAATAAACACACCTATTGAAGCATGTCTCCACAATGATGTTTATGTGCTGATGTACAAGGTATGCGTGGCCACAAAGCGGTATTAGCAACAAGGCGCAATGCCCGATGGCCGATGATGAATTAAAATATAAATAAGTTACAATATTGACGAAGCATGATGTTCTTACTATTTATGTATCGTATAAAACATTAAAAGAGAATCATTTATCTTACTATAACCGTAAAGAATTATCCGTTGTTTGAAACATGCCCTGAAATAAGTACTCTGCACGCCTCGATACAAATGTATATCCGTTTGGTGAAAAAGATGCATAATGTAAGTTATTCAGTGAGGTATCTTCATATCACTTCAGAAGTCAAAACACAGCCACGCCCATGGATCTAAAAGTCCGGGAAACACAAGGACATTCAACAAATGATTTTATCACTTCAAATGTAGACAGCACCCCGCCCTTTGATACAATGTTTCGCGAACCTGTGCGTATATTGTTAGAATTTAATGTACGATATATAAAAATCAATAAATCGTTATCGCCCTACCTACCCTACAAGAAACTACAACAAATCGTAACATCATATCTGTCTATTTGTTTCCTATTAAATCGCTATTTTGGGATAACGTTTTGCCACAAACCTCACAAGCTAGATCAATATTGGTGAAAAGGTAAGATCTCTGTCGTATTTGGTTGTGGATCAACCTAGTATTCTTAGGACTTTGAATTGACACAAAATCGGGAAATCACCACTTTAATTCACTTTTTCAGGATATTAAACAAAATTTAGTTGTGTCATGAGAGATTGTAGGACAACTTTATATTTTGTTGTGGTCAACCGTTTTTTAGAGTTATGACTTTGAACTTAGAAAACTTGAAAATTGTTTCGGCTCTCTTTCCCAGAGCTGAAATTTCAACAATACTTTTCTAATGAGAAGATATAATCAGGTCAGTATTGTTACCAAAAAAGTACAAATACATTTTCCCACAGTGAAAACCCCTAGGTTTTCTTTTCCATAACATAACAGCAGTTCTTCTAGTTTTTAACCAGTAGATCAGTGACAAGGTCAATTCATTGGAACTTTAGCTGCAAACCTGGAAGCATATTCATCAAGCACAGAACTATACACATGACCCTGGACCTATTGCTTGTCGACTAGAAGAAATATTAAATTTCAGCTCTGTGTCGTAAGGGATATATTTTTTACACTGTCTAATTCAAAGTGGGCTGAGATCAATCTCCTGAATAAACATGCTCCAATATCAGTTATTCAAAAGATGCTGTTCTCACATTTTAACACATTTGACACTTGTGACCTTGAAAGTGGGTCAAGTCATTCGTTTAAATTCATGGTAAATCCTTTATCTAATAACGATACATGCCTGATCGTTATTAAGAAAAAAAATGATCTAATTCCTGGTCAAGGGCAAATATTTGAACAAACTGAAGTAGACCTTCATTCAAGCATGCTACAGTTCAAAATAAAGTTGTTTGAAGGGGCATGTTCACGCATGACTTAAGGACGGATGATTGTCGCTGCGCCACGATATATAAGTGGATTTCAAATCTTTTGAAGCCCTTACTACATTTGGCTTGTATTATGTTTGCTTTTAATGAAGGGCTTCATTCTAATGTCAAAACCTGGTATTTATCCTTGAAGTAATAGTTTTTGCAATTTATCCGCGAATAAATTCAACTTGACGTTTAATGTCTATCTTTGGAATTTTAATGTAAGGAGATCTGCGCCGAAGGAAGAGTCAAAAGATGAAAATCAGTGCTACGCCATGCGTTCACTACGTCCCACAGAGATAAGTAAGTGGAAATAAAATCATAAATATTAACTGCTTCGTCTCCAATGTTTGAAAATTAAGGCCCTTAGCATCACTGATGAGTCTAAGAAGGACAAAAAACTCAATCTGTTTCTAAATTCGAATTAAAGGGTGCTATTCTCTTGCGTCATTTGTGCAGTCTCCATATATCATATGTCCCGAAGCACATACAGAAATAAAACAGTGGTAGCAAGCAAGATGATTTAAATGACCTTACAAGAATGTTTCTCCTTCTCAAGTGGATATTATTCATGTTGGATAAATACATCTTACCCAAAGACTTACGCCTAATTGTTAAGTAAGTAAAACCAAGATAGTAATAATTCATATAAACCGCAAGTGTACTTATTCCAATGCCCTGGCATGTCTTCGGAGTATTGGTAATATACTTAAGGGGACTTTTAACATTTATTTGTAAGCAACATATATCTCATAATGACTGTGAGTGTATATTCATTAGTACGTAAACGCTATCTTATAGACGTAATAGGGGAGAACTACAGTTACTTTATAAGTTAAAAAAAACTATTTTGCCCCAGCCTTTCCTAATGCTATTTAAAACGATGGAAATCTCATCTATATATTATGTAATTTTTCCAAAGAAGAAATACAGAGTTTACATGCTTCAGAATTACAATCAGAGAGATTGCCTATTTACGATAAGTATGCGGACCTCTCCATCTCAATGGTTTTATTGCTGGCGCGGCTAGATTTTTGATAAAACATTTGTCCAAACTGCATACTACAATTCTTAGTGCTAGTCTTACTGTGATACTGCTTGCTAAAGAATTGGAATTAAGAGTATGTGGATCATTACCCATTCTAAATTATTCTTCCTTACCCCACTCTATACACCACCACGCCACATTTTAAACTGAAAAAACCCGCCTTCGTTCTATTATTATGAGAGCCTTAAAAGAAAGATGAACGGCGGTACAAATATGGTGTTGTGAACCATACTGAAGCCCATTTCGAGAAAAGTACTACCCATCAGAATTAGAAATCAAGGACACGTCAGACCCCTCTATACCAGTCCCTTATCGTGATCTTTTCCTACAACGAAACCCAGCGTTTTTTCGCGAGCAACAAAACGAAAAGGTGAAATGCCAGGTATAAGCCACCATAAACTGGACATGTTTAATCCTCGTTAGTTTGCCTGTTGGATCCGTTGTTGTATAAGTTGTTTTTGTTTGAGAACGTGGTATTACCTAATTGTATTGACCTAGATATATATGGCGGGTGTCGTCGATGAAGAAGAAGACTCTTACTCTTACCTTGTCTTATTCTCCGTGTACTTTATAAGGAGTCTTCGAGTAAATCTTTCTTTTGTGTTATATTTTGCACTAGTTTGATTGAATTTGAGTTTGAATCTTGATTGTTGACATGTTTGTATTTTGTTGGGTTGTTTTTACCCAGTACTCTTGGATAAAACACTCCATACTCTCTAAGAAGCAGAAATTATTTTGAAGTTCTTAATTATATACGTTTCACCGTGCAGACTCGTCCTTTTTACCCGTAATCCTTCATTTATGGAATAAAGAAGACAAAATCCCAGATCTGCACCTTCTTCGGAAGTTTAACACCAGATTTAGATAGTTTGTAACCTCCAAAGTATTTTGGGTTTGGCAACAAGGAAATTAATACATACTAAGTCGTATTCTCTTAACTACGACTTATATTGTTTAGATATAGTTTCCATCTTCAGATGTGTTTACCATTTTGCAATCTAGATAATTTAAATGTTAACATCAATATTAAAGATTTTCTTTGGAAACGAAAATCTGCTCATAGAAACAATTTGTCCAGTTTTGAAATCTGTGCTAGTTTTGGATATTGATTATGTTAATTAACTAGTGTCTAATCATCTTTACCTTGTGACCATCAGATATGTTTAGATCAAACACATGGCATAATTTGTTTCACGTCTTTGGAAGCAACATAGCTGTAGCTGTTTATGTATTTGGAACATTAAAGAAATCTTAGTTGTATGCGTAGTTGATTCCTTCTGTCAAAATCTTTATTGTCAAAATGTAGATTAGCTAGTGTTTAGTGAACAACACCGCTATTGAATGACAGTTACTTCTGCTCTGCCAGAAATTCAGTAAGTTTAACCTAAGGGAGAGTTGCGTGGCAGTTTTAACTTAGCGTCGTGACGAAAGTTAGATAAAAACTTTACTGTCATGATCTGGCGGTTGTGCATTGACAGCATTTCCATCATAAATTAAAATAGATACTACAATGGAGTAATCTTTCCTCCCTAATCTTCAGGAAAGTATGGTATGTACATGCAACTGATACTCCAATAACATGGCTTGAAGATGTTCTTTACTACGATAAGAGATAATCTTATGCAAAAAATATCTTAACGTCAGTCGAATTCACTTACCGGAAATGCCTTTATACAGTAAGAAATGCGACGATGATGGTTATAATATATGTCTTTTTATTATGCTTTATTGATTTAAATGCTTAATAAACAGATCCATATTTATATGTAACATACCACAACGGTATATGTACAAAATAAACAAAGGAATATAATATTAAAAGCAGACATGCTTTCAAACTCCACCATTCATGAAAAGGAATTTATATTTACGAGATATTAGCTTTAAGGATATTTAATAAAAAAAAGGTTAATTTCCACTGATTAAGATATGGATATATGTGATTTTCTCCCCACACGCCATAAACCTTTTACTCAGTCTGTTAAGCTGTCCATCCAACGCTTCATACGTACACATGTATAAAAACTATTGCACAAAACAATCTAAAAATTTCCATGTATATCTGCTTTGAATTTCTCTCTCCTTGTTATATAATCTAATATACATATATCGTGATTATAAACAAGTAGCTATGTTGTGGCCCGAACAAAGCTGTGCATAGTAAACTGTTAACGCCATTTCTTTTTTACAGAACAGTGTCTTCCGTTGCTGTCGCTACAACTTGTATAAAGCTTACGTATGCTGGACGTTTGGACACAACGGGTTCATCCTCGTGTGGAATTATATTTTCCGGTACACTTGCGGGTTGCTCCTCGTTTGTGTTCACAGGTTCAGAAACTGGTTCGTTATCTGCGTTTATATCTGGTTCTTCCATTTCTGGTCCTGTTTCAGGGTTGCTGAAAGGAATACCAAACTCACCATCATCGTCTCCATCATCAAATTCCGAATCATCAGGTGTCATTCCTTGTTGTGAACCGTCTTCATACATGTAGTTCGGTTCTAAAGCAACAGAATGGACGGGCGAAGGATCTTGTGGCGGAGCATCCTGTGAAGGTGTTATATAATCATTGACGTTGCCTGGATATGGTGATAGATCACGGTTTTCCGTTGGTACACATGGAGTCGGTGGAGAGTCGTCTTCCTTATATTCTTGTTTTAGATGTAAGGTATTAACTATTGCTTTATCGTCTTCGTCGGGACTCGGAATGGCCGTCTCATCAGATGTTCCCTCTGTCTGTTCGTCCCTATCAGGATATTCCAATGATTCCGTCACTGGGGCAGCGAAGGACGATGTTGCTTTATATGGGTAACTGGACGGTTGTCGTTTGATATCGCTTTGATTTTCAAAATGCCCATTTTCATATTTTACTGAGCCTGTTTGAAAATAACTCCGTCCTTTTTCAATATTGCTTGTGTCCTTCGGTTCTTTTACTTTTTTCCTATAAAATCAAAGATGTTCAAATGAATATAATTACAGATCTCAGCAGTGGAAATTACACATGTGACAGAAATGTTTTAACAATGATTTTATCTACTCATGTACAATATTGTTGAAATGCATGATTTGATGCTTCATTTAACGTAGCCTTTACTTTTTACGTTTTATCTAACAACATTTTCTGTTTAGTTTCATCTATGGTCAATTCGAATCTTTCATTAAGTAAAATATACACAACATATATGCGAGACCTAACCTCCAGTTACAGGCAACCATTATGATGATGATGAGAATTCCAACACCAATGACACAGCCTGCTATCACTCCTGTTAAAGAGAAGACGTGAGTAGACATACGTATCATCTTGCTATATTTGTTCGATAAGTTTGTGTTGAGATTTGTATCATATCACGACATACTGTGTATTCGTTAAACTTCGCGGGAATGATATTTCGTTGTTGTCAAGGTTTGGGATAGTTCGCGGATATTTATTGTCTATCAATTGTAATCCATGTAAACAAACATTTAAAACGCAGCTTCTGATATTGTGATTTACTGTGAAAATGTTTGTAGGTGTTTTCGTTTCACAGTGATTTTAATGACCGCGAAAAAACAACACAAAATCAAATCAATCTCGAATTTTACATATCCATATAAAATAGTATTGCCTATGAAATGTGCGAAATATCATAGCATAGCAACGCAAGAATTGATTGTGAATTTAAAGAAAAATGAACTTTACGTGTTCAATACACATCTTTAATATCTACACCAAATCGTGTACCTGTTCTTTGTTCATCTGTAAGTGTTACTCCGTCCTTGATCGCTCCAACACTTCCACTCGAAGTAGTAGTCATTGGTGTAGTAGATGAAGAGCGTGTGGTAGGAGACATGGTCGTAGTCGTTGGTACAGGTGTCGTTGTCGTGGTCATAGTAGTTGGTGCAGGTGTAGTTGTCGTGGTCGTAGTGGTAGTTGTTGTAGGGGATGGTGTTGTAGTGGTCGTAGTCGTTGTTGTAGATGTTGTGGTGGTCGTTCGCACCAAGCAATCATTTACATCACCCTGATCAGAATCTGAAAAATAGCACAAGTAAATCCATCCGTATATTTGACAGAAATTAAATGTCTTGTGACAACGAAGATGATTATGAACTTTCTGAAATTTAAAGCCTGACGTTTGATTTTATATATGAAGATAGCGACAGCGTATGTGAAAACCGATATCTCGTTATCTTTCATGTGTGCGGCGAGCGCAAAAGGACGAAGTTACGTGTATCTTTTCTCATACTTTTCTTTCTAAAAAATGATATAGCTTACATCGTTGCTTCCATTCTTTATCCTTCCATAACATAATACAAAACAATAAATAGTTGTATAACAATTTTGAAGTCTTTACCAAATGAGCATAGATATCCTTTGGTCTCAGAACAAGCTGGAGTTGATATCAACTTCACGTCATCATCAATGACTGAGAAATATTGACATTCTCTAATTCTGGAAATATCGGAGTCGCTCACATCTGCAATAAATGAAAATCGTCGCTTATTAATATCATCACTCATAACAGTGATGTCCAGATATATCAGGATATTCAGATTGTCTTAATCATTCACATTTTTATTATTCTAGATAAAGATCTAATTGTCACTAATATGTTCTTCTCTTTGTTCTTGTTATCTCTTCTCAAATCCCGTGACAAATGACTCCAAACAAGATGCAAATAAACACAGCATATATGTAACACTTACTGGTGGTATCAGCGTAAAGCGTTGTTCTGTCTCGGTGGAAGTGTCCCCAGTAAGGTTTTCGAAGCGTAACATTTGATGTACTGCACCAGTCTAAAATATTCGGACCAGACATGTAGCTACCTTTGGTGATACAGGCTTGTCTACTGTCAACCCATGCCAGGTTTTCGTCCGTAAAAGTCCCATCTAAATGTAAGGTAAAGATAATTCTGTGTTAACAGAAAAAGTGGCACTGCATCAGATTAAAGAGACTGGGGGTGTTCTAAATTCGGAGGATTTTTGCAGTTATATTTAAGTATTGTTCTCTCTATACTAGGACTAGTCATTTTTTAAGTTTCTTACCGGTAAAACATATTCATAAGATGGTACAACAGACAAACAAGTAAATAACACCTTCTAATACAAATTCAGAATTAGGTACAGCAGAGCCGAACAATGAATTAAACTGCATCATACAGCTGTTTCGTCCTTCTAGGACTTGCCAGTCTTGCTAACAGACTAAATTTTGAGGTCTAGGAGGAGTACGAGAAAAAAAAATGATCGAAAGAAACGCGATCTTATTCATTTATTTTGTCACCTTCTTTTTATTCATAATTTCAGAAGAAGGCGCTGTTTATCATTACATTGGTCTTAAAATGTTTCAAACACCATTTATTCCACAATATTACTGAAATGTGGATTGTAATAATTGTGATAGTGGAGTAGAATTGTTATTGGTATATGTCAGATTAAAATGACCAGGAGCTTATCGTGGGATGTTCAAATATTTCTCCAAAATGATGAGTCAACTTCTATGGTGATCACAGTATGTATATATTCTATTGAACTTATTGAAAACGGAATAAAACATAAAATAATTAAAAAAACTGTACTAAAGATGGCTACCTGAAGTAATACGTCAGAAATAATGTTACTTTTTTTAAAAACAAATTTTGTACTTTCTATTTAGATAAATTTAGTACTACTGATTAAACAGATTTAGTACTTCTGTTTAAACAGATTTAGTACTTCAGTTTAAACAAATTTAGTACTTCTGTTTTACGTCTGCAGGAATTACATCTAGTGGTTGTGTTGATATCAAAAATATATCTATATAAGGCTCGATTTTAGATTCCTTGTAAACTGACGACCCATATTGCTTTCAGTTCTGAGGTCCTGGTCAGTTTGCCGTCCCGACGGTTATCATAAGAGGTATTTATTTCTGATTAGTTGTATACTATATATAGCACTTCCACATAATTGCTAATTAGTTGTATACTATATAAGCACTTCCACATAATTTCTTATTAGTTGTATACTATATATAGCACTTCTACTTAATTTCTGATTAGTTGTATACTATATATAGCACTTCCACATAATTGCTAATTAGTTGTATACTATTGCTAATTAGTTGTATACTATATATAGCACTTCCACATAATTGCTAATTAGTTGTATACTATATATAGCACTTCCACATAATTTCTGATTAGTTGTATACTATATATAGCACTTCCACATAATTGCTAATTAGTTGTATACTATATATAGCACTTCCACATAATTGCTAATTAGTTGTATACTATATAAGCACTTCCACATAATTTCTTATTAGTTGTATACTATATATAGCACTTCCACATAATTTCTGATTAGTTGTATACTATATATAGCACTTCCACATAATTTCTGATTAGTTGTATACTATATATAGCACTTCCACATAATTTCTGATTAGTTGTATACTATATATAGCACTTCCACATAATTTCTGATTAGTTGTATACTATATATAGCACTTCCACATAATTGCTAATTAGTTGTATACTATATAAGCACTTCCACATAATTTCTTATTAGTTGTATACTATATATAGCACTTCCACATAATTTCTGATTAGTTGTATACTATATATAGCACTTCCACATAATTGCTAATTAGTTGTATACTATATATAGCACTTCCACATAATTTCTGATTAGTTGTATACTATATATAGCACTTCCACATAATTGCTAATTAGTTGTATACTATATATAGCACTTCCACATAATTGCTAATTAGTTGTATACTATATATAGTTGTATACATATATAGCTTCCACATAATTTCTGATTAGTTGTATACTATATATAGCACTTCCACATAATTGCTAATTAGTTGTATACTATATATAGCACTTCCACATAATTTCTGATTAGTTGTATACTATATATAGCACTTCCACATAATTTCTGATTAGTTGTATACTATATATAGCACTTCCACATAATTTCTGATTAGTTGTATACTATATATAGCACTTCCACATAATTGCTGATTAGTTGTATACTATATATAGCACTTCCACATAATTTCTGATTAGTTGTATACTATATATAGCACTTCCACATAATTTCTGATTAGTTGTATACTATATATAGCACTTCCACATAATTTCTGATTAGTTGTATACTATATATAGCACTTCCACATAATTGCTAATTAGTTGTATACTATATATAGCACTTCCACATAATTGCTAATTAGTTGTATACTATATATAGCACTTCCACATAATTGCTAATTAGTTGTATACTATATATAGCACTTCCACATAATTGCTACTTAGTTGTATACTAAATATATTGCACTTATTCTCATTTCAGCTCAGAATGATGATAATCACACAGTGATACAATTTGAAACAATAATTTATTTATCTTTTTCTGCTGAGACGAATACTAAGTAGGGCTCCAATTGGACTGTAAAAAAACACGTTGTCGAGTTGCCTCGTTATCTTGGAAGCAATGAACTGTTCTTACAAACACATTACGTTGCAAATGTATAGAATTTTAATCATAACAAAAGCTGTTCACATTAAGTTGTTATTTTGTAACAGGTAGCATTCCTTCTCTCTATCATTCCAATATAAATATATTTTATTATTAAACTGTCTGTTTTCTGTTATTAATTTTCCTTTATTTTAGAGCAGTAGAATTTACTAGTTTTTAGAACCCACATAGTATTATATCCCCCTGTGGATATGGTCTATTGATTCTCAGTGTACTATTTCATGTTTAGACTTTACCGCTACACGATGCCTGCAGTTTGCTGGAACAGTTCCTGGAGAAGTAAGTCCATGTGGAGTTCTCCGGGAGAACAGGAGATGGTTCACACTGGAACACACCACAGTCACACGTCTCGTTCTTTTCCAACTCACAGAAACGGGTATCCAAGTCATATGTATCTAAAAAAAATGTTCTAAACCTGAAAATGATTGTTTATCTTTGGTAGCAGTACACAGTTTCTTGGTGTGGCCATAGTTGGTAGCAGTACACAGTTTCTTGGTGTGGCCATAGTGATATTTTTGTTCTCAAGATTATCCCATTTTAATGGTTTTAATTAAAATTTAAAACATAAATCGTTGCTAACGTTGATCTTGTCATGTTGAAGTGGACAATGCGTGGTTTCATATTTTTCAGAATAATATGAAACCACACATTATCACAAATTTCAGAAACCTTAAAACATGATGTTTTGAAATCTTCTTTTATCCTTACTCACATGGGCGATATAGGGCTATGTGGTTGGGACTACCACAGCTATATTGAGATCCTCCCTGACACGGGAGACAACTCTGAGAGGCAGTAAAAGTGAGACTGTCAGTAGAATCTAAGCAAATGCATTTTCCACCTTCCTAAAACAGAAAAATGTAAACGAGTTTGTTTTAGTTAATGTTTGCATCCTAAATCGAATTTGATATCATAACAAACGACGACTGTTTCACATATTTCATCTATTCCTGACTACATCCGTAAATAAGTTATAATACAATCACATTTCTAAACAAAACTTACTTTGTTCTCCTTGTATGTTAAATGTTCTTTGCGTTTAAACAAAAATGTATTTCTCTTTTCCTGGTATGCCCTCGTTTTTTACATGCCCATACGCGCTTATTGTTGATACAATTACATATAATACATTTCTACAGTAACCCGTAGCTATGCAATGTTAACTTTTCTAGTTTACCTGAAGTCCAAAATTAACTGATTGTTTACAAATCTGGTAGCATTCATCGAAGTCACTGACATCGGAAAATACACTTCCTGTTGTTACTTGAAAACATCCTGAAATTTTGTGCAAAGAAACTTAATTACAATATCATTGTAATGCATTAAAATTTAACACACAGCTTGTGATAGACAGATGGATAATGAAAAGTTAATACGACAGAATAATCACATATAAGTCTGTTGCTCATAGTAAGGATGACGGTTGAAACAAAATTATGTATAACTTAAACACGAAAAGTAAGTTCAAAGTATGTTATATGCGTAGTATACGTTGAAATACTGTATAATATAATGAAATGTTTACAATGTTGATAACAATCCCTTACAATGTTGATAATGTATCATTATATCAATTAATATTGCGTTAAGATAATGAATAACCTAACAACTTCGGTAGGTTTTAACTCGAGAGTAACATAATCAATTACAAGACAGACCGTTCTGTTAATATGGGAGTTACTAGTTATTTCAGAATGCTAACACTAATTAAGATAGCATGCGAGGTCACAAACGTCTTGTGTAATTAATCATACCAATCAATTCCAACCAAGGCGTTAAGAAGTTGTAACCAGCTGCCCAGTAGGAACCCGTTTCCTCCATAAGTTCGGGACAGTCTTTAAGAGTTGATAGGTCACTCTTGGACACTCTGGCCAACTGACCACCAGCTACTTTGCACAAGTCATTGGCTCCACTCCATGAAGCGGGAGTGGAAAGCAGACGTAACACTCTATCAGAACGAACACCTTGAAACGAAATAAATACGTCATATTAAAAAGTAAACGTTCCTTTAAAAAAATACCATTTAAAATTGATATAGTATTTATATTCACTGATGTTTAAAAACTGCTAAAATATTGTTCGTGGTCACTGGTGTCAAACACTGGTACAATATTGTTGGTGGTCACTGATGTCAAACACTGGTACAATATTGTTGGTGGTCACTGATGTCAAACACTGGTACAATATTGTTGGTGGTCACTGATGTCAAACACTGGTACAATATTGTTGGTGGTCACTGATGTCAAACACTGGTACAATATTGTTGGTGGTCACTGATGTCAAACACTGGTATTTTACTAATTAGAGAGTATTCACTGGTGTCAAACATTTTTGAGATAAATAATTTGCAATCAATGATGTCAAACACTGGAACAATATAGATTTAGAAAAAACTGGTACAATTTAGCGTTTGTAGACACCGACAGTGATACAACCACTGGTATGATAAATTGTTAGAAATCACTGATGTCGAACTGGTAGAATATAGAGTTAGCAGTCATTGATGTCAATACTTGTCATTCCTAGGACGATTTTATACAAACCCTGAATTTGCGAGTGCATGATGACCAATAGCAATGACAGTCTCAGCAGTGACTTCATCTCGCTGGAGGTGAGCTGTTTCTGAAAGATAGATAAAGTAATCGACTTACATGCCGACTTAATATAAAAAAATCCTATCAATATGTAAATATTGATTAAATCATAGATAGAGCACTATTATCGTACAAAAACACAAGTGATAAACACTGATCAATAAACTATTAAGTAGAATGATAAGTTAAGATACACCATGCAGCTCTTCCACGACTCGTCAGTTATGCTATTCTGAATCAATGTGGCCAGGAAAAATGTGGAAAATATTTGAAATACGAGAAATCTTATTTTTAGAGCTTTTTCGTGGCTTCAGCAGAAGACATTGAAAATCAGTACTCTCTATCTTTTAATCTAGCTGTGTATTTCATATATGTTTATATCACTAGGAAAGTTGTATATATAACAAATATCATATTTCATTATTCACATTCAATGACATTTTCATGCTTCCGCCTCGACACAGCCAGTTTGTTGTCACGCCTAAATCTATAGAAAGCAAATGACTTCCTGGTCAACAGATTCATGTATGTCGGACAAAATAAAAAAGTAGGAGGTATATATAGTGTGGTATATGTAACATAGTCCAAGTTATTTAAGTCAATTTAGTGTCAGCTTAATTTTGGAAAGCATGAATGAATGAATGATACAGATACTGTATTGTAAATTAAATAAATCATATATATGATAGCTAATAGAGCATACATACATACATACATACATACATACATACATACATACATACATACATACATACATACATACATACATACATACATGCAATACCATACCATACCATACCATACATACATACATACATACATACATACATACATACATACATACATACATACATACATACCTACATAAATACATACATACATACATACATACATACATACATACATACATACATACATACATACATACATACATACATACATACATACATACATACATGTAATATTTGAGAATATTGTTTATAATCGTATGATAATATTAACGATGCCTTAACTTACATATTGATATAATACAGAATCTGACCTGAATCAAATCAATATAAATTGATAATATAAAGATATTTTTATATCAGCCGTGAATCAGTTTCCTTTGCATGTTGTTCGATACAGCTCACATTTCAACAATCCCTGATCTCAACTTGTCAATAATGTTTGAACTATTTATATCTAATAGCTGTGTAGCTATACAAACACATTGACAATCTTGATATGTGTATATTGCATAGTATGGGAGATACGTTTAATTATATTGGACAAACCCTTACTTTGTGTTAAAAGGCAGGTTTGCTGCCTTATATTTATGTGTTACTAAGGCTCTATCAACAGATGAGTGTGAGTAGGGGTTGTGGAAACAAAAAACATAACCAAATAATACCTTAATTATGGGGCTGGTACACTAGCACACCTACTCATCTAGATTTCTTTTTTTATGCATTTCTTTCGATCACTACGGATTTTCCTCAGTCGCCTACAAGGTTTAAAATTTGGACCCTTGGCATCACTAACGTGTCCTAAAAGAACGAAACAGCTGTATGATGTAGCATCATTAAGGTCTCCTAAAAGCACGAAACAGCTGTATGATGTAGCATCATTAACGTCTCCTAAAAGCACGAAACAGCTGTATGATGTAGCATCACTAACGTGTCCTAGAAGGACGAAACAGCTGTATGATGTAGCATCACTGACGAGTCCTAAAACAACGAAACAGCTGTAGGATGTAGCATCACTAACGTGTCCTAAAACAACGAAACAGCTGTATGATGTAGCATCACTAACGTGTCCTAAAACAACGAAACAGCTGTATGATGTAGCATCACTGACGAGTCCTGGAAGAACGAAACAGCTGTATGATGTAGCATCACTGACGTTTCCTAAAAGAACGAAACAGCTGTATGATGTAGCATCACTGACGTGTCCTAACAGAACGAAACAGCTGTATGATGTAGCATCTCTAACGTGTCCTAAAAGCACGAAACAGCTGTATGATGTAGCATCACTGACGAGTCCCAGAAGGACGAAACAGAGGTATGATGTAGCATCACTGACGAGTCCCAGAAGGACGAAACAGAGGTATGATGTAGTATCACTGACGAGTCCCAGAAGGACGAAACAGCTGTATGATGTAGCATCACTGACGAGTCCCAGAAGGACGAAACAGCTGTATGATGTAGCGTCACTGACGTGTCCCAGAAGGACGAAACAGCTGTATGATGTAGCATCACTGACGAGTCCCAGAAGGACGAAACAGCTGTATGATGTAGCGTCACTGACGTGTCCCAGAAGGACGAAACAGAGGTATGATGTAGTATCACTGACGAGTCCCAGAAGGACGAAACAGCTGTATGATGTAGTATCACTGACGAGTCCCAGAAGGACGAAACAGCTTTATGATGTAGCATCACTGACGAGTCCCAGAAGGACGAAACAGCTGTATGATGTAGCGTCACTGACGTGTCCCAGAAGGACGAAACAGCTGTATGATGTAGCATCACTGACGAGTCCCAGAAGGACGAAACAGCTGTATGATGTAGCGTCACTGACGTGTCCCAGAAGGACGAAACAGCTGTATGATGTAGCATCACTGACGAGTCCTAGAAGGACGAAACAGTTGTACGATGTAACATCACTGACGAGTCCTAGAAGGACGAAACAGCTGTATGATGTAGCGTCACTGACGAGTTCTAGAAGGACGAAACAGCTGTATGATGCTGTTTTATGCATTGGATTCTATTGTATCATATCTAATAAAAGGTGTTATTCACTTGTGTACATACTGTACAATCTTAGGTTCATAATAATATGTCTGGTCATCATACACCTTACACTTTGTATTGAGATTGTTCCATTTCAGCGTATTTGAACGTTTCCCGATATTTTTTATTTTATTTTCTATCTTCCTAAATGTCACGAACAGAAGGTTCGATAAATATATTTTAGAAAATGGAAAGAATCAATCTATCAACATATTAAATTGTTATTTATTGGGTTTTATCTGACAATTAAATGAAAACTGCAAGATTTCAGTTTCACCTGAGGCAATAAATGAGTATTTATCGAGCATGGAAATGTGTTTTTTAAGGTAAAAGGAATATCATTAAATATTTCTAGTTAATTACACGCAGTGTTATCGGCGAGTTAGGCACGCTGACTACGACTACGTTAAAATATGTCTATGTATCGTTTCCAATCAAGGTATACGTGAATCAAATACTTAGTCATCTAGATCATATCATATCTACAAATATATGATTTATAAACAGATGTCAGAGTAGATAAAATGTCGGTTTACTTATTCATACAATAACTTACGTAGCAGAACCTATTTTAATAGTCTACAATTTCATATCCTCATTAAATAATGTAGAAATATTTTAAGAACATTCTAGCGACACCAAATAATTCCTAGTTCTTTTTCCTGAAAATGAATAATTCTAGTGTTAAATACATAAATCGTGAATTAAATTGGTATCTGATTTGTTGAGAATGTGGTTATATTATCGTACAAAACTAGTTTCCCAAACCCATGACTCAGATAAAATGTGTCGTACACACAGAAAACAAGTGAGGCAGCAAGTTATATACAAGGTGTACAAAAGCTGGGTACATGGCAATTTATAGGACAGGTTTGATACAACAGTGGAAATACCGTGCTACTGTAGATATAGAACAAGGACATCAACAGTCATGTAATATGTTATGCAACCCATGTCAGTTTATGATACATTATTAAAAAAACACATAATCACATATGAAATAGTGGCTTAATATACGAAATTTTCAATACCTAGAAAGAGTATACATGTAATATTGATCACAAGATCACTCGGCTTTATAATACCTGTAGTGTAGAACCAAGCGTCACTGTCTCGTGAAGGTTCTACAGAGATCGTCTCATGTCGAGTTTGCAATAATGGTAGTATGACTAGTATTTTACTTCCTGTATGATCGTGAAGTTATATATAGGAACTACAGGCATGTCATCCTGTGTTAAATACATAATATCAGACATGGTGATTTGTTAACTGGTTACTTTCATTTAACACAAGTAAGCATAATAATACATACCTCGGGATCTAACACCCGAATATATGATTCTTCTATCACACACTGATATACCTGGTTGATTCCCTAATAAGATAGTCCTCGCTTCAGACATCAGTCACTGCCTTCGTCACAAAACAATAAGTACGTGCGGACTATTTCTATGATGGTAGACACGCTTGAATGCTGCTTATTAATGGTACACATGAACAAGAAAAAAAAATTAAATTACATGTACACATGAAACGCTCACAACACACCCTACACTCGGTCTTTTCATAAGATACCCATGCAACTAAAACAGGAAGTATAAATATACCTGCTCGGCGAGAAAATTGCCAAAAGATTATAATAATGAACAAAGAGCGTGGTCGTTGGGTTAGGTCGGTGTAGTATAACCGGTTATTTACATATTGCATTGCACGTCAAACAAAACCGAGTATAACAAAAATATGACGGGTCGGGAATAAGCGACCTGGATGTGAAAAGGTATCAGGCCATCTGACCAACCATGTGGAGTTTCTCCATCAAGGGGAGCCTTGCGTTCCTCTCTCCGGGCCAACAACACTGATTGGCACCAGTTTAAATCTGTTGCTGTTGTAGGATATAACAGCACGCGATTCTCTTCTCTCTCCTGTGAATTCCGTCTCCATGTCGTTATTATTGGAAACACATGGATGTTTAAAGAAGAGACAGTGTAAATTTATATAGAAGTGAAATTTGGGAACTGAACGAGTGGGGTTTTTTTTATCTGTTTTAAACAACAAAAACAAGTCAACCAATTAAGACAGGGGCATAGTTTGTTCCCGTGTGTATGTCATTAGTCTGTAGGTATGGCTTGCTTCCAAACCGGACGAAGATATTGTCTCCCAGAAATCAGCCCGTTCTCAATATTTCATTCACTGTATAATTCCTTCTTGGCTTTAGATATAATGTTCACGAAACACTCTCGCGTATAATTAACACTATATACATGTTTTTCAACCGCCTTCATTTACCTCGATGAGAAAGATTTCATAACCACAAGATGAAGGCGTTTCTTCAGATTGGTAGTGAACAGAGTGGACAAATCTTCACATTCACAAGTTGTTTTCCAAGAAAAAAGATTGTACTCCATTTCTCTGGTATACAGTATCAGAATATGTACACGCTGACCTCATTGTAAAAAGATTTTACTCCATTTCTCTGGTATACAGTATCAGAATATGTACACATGAGCCTTCACGTCATGTAACATAGAGTTATTTCCCTTCCTCTTAGCCTTTCTCTGTAGTATCACCCGTAGTAGGGGCAGTCAGGACAGATAGGAAGAGAATATGGGAGGTAAAAAGGGTGGAATATGTACTCCATTGTAAAGTTTTATGGTATACAGTATTACCTCATGAAAATTGGTTTTACATTAAAAAAGATTGTACCTCATTTCTCTGGTATTTCATTTCACGTAATAATTACCATAACTTTATGTATGACCTCATTGTAAAAAGATTGTACGTCTTACCGTAGTGGTGACTAGCAGCCAGGCAGCCCATATTGTTAATGTAATACTAGCACAATATCTTTAAACTGAATGGCTTGTAAATAGAAGATATGATAACTGCTTGAGGACAGAAAAATGGTGATAAGATGCCTCGTCTGTAAACAGTATCGCCTACTTTTTAATACAGAGCATTAAATGAAGTGAATCCAATGCAGCATATTTTCGTTTAAAAAGTCTGTAGCGTAGTTTGCCTTGGAATCTATAAGCATCTTAAAATTTACCTTTTAATTTGAGGTTTTTTAATGTAAAACCAATTTTCATGAGGTAATACTTACCATAACTTTAGTATGCAAATATGGTAACTACACCCATCTTTGTATCCCAAAAACAAAAGATTCAAAAATCCCGCCCTCCCTACGACCATGAGCCTTCACGTCATGAACATAGAGTTATTTCTCTTCCTCTTAGCCTTTATGTAGCACCCGTAGAGGGGCACAGCCACAGACTGTGCATTACCTCATGAAAATTGGTTTTACATTAAAAAACCTCAATTTCATTTCAGTAATAATTACCATAACTTTAGTATGCGAATTCGTCTTACCGTAGTGGTGACTAGCAGCCAGGCAGCCCATCTAGCACACTAAACATGGTAGGGAGGGGGGACAGAGTGCATAGAATAAGGAGGGGCAACCTCCCCGTGACCGTCCCAAAGAATACAAACCTTCTGAGTGGGAAGCCAGGGATCTCAGATAAAAATCTGTAAATGTATCCCTGCCCCGCCAGAAGGCAGCAGACATGACCTCCTGAAAGGAGGACCCATTAAGAAGGGCCCAGGATGCAGCGAGGGCCCTTACCTCATGAGCCCGCACTCTCACCCTCGCCCGAGCCTGGTCATCAGAATGCTCATAAGCATACTTAATGACCTGGCATACCCACCTAGACACCGACTGGGAGGAGATGTCTCGCTGTCCCTGTTTGATAGGCAAAAACAGACGGGATCTGGAGCCCCGCCCCCCCCCCCCCCCCACCCCCCCTGGTTTTATCGAGATAAAACCTAAGAGCCCTACAGGGACAAAGCAATCTATCCCTCTCCTCCGAGCTAGTCAAAGCCGGAATCTTGATGGGATCGGGCGAGAACCCCGGGACCTGATTCTTCGCAAGGAAGGAAGGATCAGTTAAAAGAGTAACGGCAGCGTAGCCTCTGGACCAACGAAGGCAGGAAGGAAGTGACGACAGTGCACTTCACTCCTCCTACGTCCAGAGGCCAGAGCCAAAAGGAAGACTGTCTTAAAAGTTAGAAACTTCAAAGAGGCAGACTCTATAGGCTCATAAGGTGACCTCGTCAGGGAATCTAGCACCAAGGTTAAATTCCACTGCGGGGCCAGCTGCCGAACTCTGGGTCTATCCAAAGCGAAGCCTCTGATTAGGGCAGAAAGAGATGAGGAAGAACCTATCTCCTTCCTGCCGTAAAAAGCCAAGACACTGGCAATTGCTGTCCTATAGCCAGCAATAGTGCCAGGTGCCAGATTGCGGTCCCTAAACAGAGAGAGTAGGAAATCCGCAATCAGCTGAACAGAGGCTTCGAATGGATCAACCTCCCTGCCGACACACCAATCACAGAAGATCTTCCATCTGGACTGGTAGACGGCAGAAGAGGAAGCCCTGATAGATCGCGCGATGCGATCTGACACCTCTCGAGAAAAGCCTGCCTTGGCGAGGCTTCCAGAGATAGCCTCCACGCGTGAAGGTGGAGGATCTCTGGTCGAGAGTGTGTCGTCCTGGACCGAGGCTGACGCAGGAGATTCGGTCTGGTGGGGAGAGCCAGTGGCTCCTCCACCAGAAACGACAAGAGCTCCGGAAACCAAGGCTGCCTCGGCCACAGGGGGGCTATCAGAAGTAAGGAGCAGTGATGCTCCCTGAACTTCTGAAGCACCCTGCCCACCAGGTTGAAGGGAGGGAATGCATAAGCATGCATCCCGTCCCAGTCCAGAGAAAGGGCGTCCACAGCCCAAGCCTTCGGATCTGGGACCGGAGAGACGAAGGTTGGCAGCTGATTGTTCAGAGAAGTGGCAAACAGATCTATCAAAGGTCTGTCCCACACCTGACAAATTCCCCGGAAGACCGAGGGACACAGCTGCCATTCCGTCAACACCGGTTGGCGGCGCCTGGAGAGGGTATCCGCCAACACATTCAACCTGCCCGGAAGATGCTTGACCGTAATGGACAATTGCATCTCCTGACAGAGAAGAAGGATGCGGATGGAGAGGGCACACAGGACGTGAGACCTGGTGCCCCCTTGTCTCTCCAGATACGCGACAACTGTAGAGTTGTCGGTAGCCACACAAATCGCCTTGGACTGCAGGAATCCCCGAAAGGATTGCAGTGCCAAAAGAACTGCCCTCATCTCGAGCACGTTGATGTGCTCCGAGAGCTGATCCCCAGACCACTCCCCCGAGCGACAATGGCCGTCGAGGTAAGCTCCCCATCCTGTCATGGAAGCATCCGTGAACAGGGTCATAGAGGGGACAGGCTTGGTCAGAGGAACCCCGCGGAGAACATTCTCCCGAATGGTCCACCAGCGAGCGAACTCCCTGACCGACTGAGTGAGAGTTATCCAGGCCTCCCACTTCCTGGATGACGGAACCCAGTTGGACAGGAGGAACATCTGGAGAGGTCTGATGTGAAGTCTCCCTAGGGGGACCACATCTGCCAGGGCGTTGAGATACCCCAGAAAACTGAGGAACCAACGTACCTGGACCTGCGACCGTTCGATGAAGGACAGAGCTAGAGCCCTGGCCTTCTCGAACTTCTCCACCGGTGGTAGGGCTATGCCCAGAACCGTATCGAAACGATTCCCCAGGAAGACAAAGTCCTGAGATGGGGAAACCTCTGACTTCTCTCTGGAAGGAATGAAGCCGACTCTGAGTAAGACTTTCAGGACCAGCCTGGTATCCTTCACTAACGATTCCCTCACCCTGTGAAGCATGAGGGAGTCGTCGAAATAGATGTGGACGTCTATTCCGCGAGAGTGAAGGAATCCCACGACTACCTGCAGCAGCTTGGTGAACACCAAGGGAGCTGTCGTCAGCCCGAAGGGCATGGCCCGGAATTGGAAGACCTTGCCGTTGCACGTGAAACGGAGGAACTTCCGTGCCGACTTCTTGATGGGGATATGGAAATAGGCGTCCTTCAGATCTACTGAAGTTGCCCACATCCCGTCCCTCACGGAGGCCATGATGCCCCGTGGGGTCTCCATCTTGAAGTGAGGAGAATCTACGTGCCTGTTGAAGGCACTGAGATCTATGATCGGGCGCCACTCTCCGGACTTCTTCCGAACGAGAAACATTCGGGAGTAGAAGCCGGGAGTGATTTCCGACATAGGAATCTCCTCTACCGCGCCCTTGGCAAGCAAGGTCCTTACTTCCTCCTGGATCGCCCGAGCCTTCTCCAAATCCCCCGGAGGAGGAAAGAAGATCGGCTGGGCGGTAAGAGGCGGATCCTGAAGAAGGGGAATACCTAGACCCTCCTTGACCACCGACAACGTCCACGCGTCCTCCGTAATTTCCTGCCACTGGGACAGGAAAGCGGAGA